TGTGCCAAACATGTACACAGCACTCATAATGTTTCTTACATTACCCATAATTGTTGCAAGTATAGTTAAAAGTCTTTTTCTAAACTAAAAATAATAAAGAACTACAAGGAATTCTATGCCCAATACTAGGCTGTGAGATTTTAGTTTAGTTAGTATTGAACATGAAAGAGCTCGTTCTTTAGCAAGACGGTTCCTAGAAACAAGGAGCCGTAGGGGCTTTGTCAGGGAATAGGAATTAACGTACAGTGTTGTCTTCTGTCCTCCTTCAAACACCTTGTTTTGAGCTTATTTCTAACACTTCTTATATACTAAAGTAAACACCTTTGAAATTACCAATTTATGACACTCAACATTTTGAAATAAACAGTTTACTGACTGTCTGATTTTTTGGAATCACTTGTAATTTGACAGATTATATTTTAAATAAACTTGGACTCACCTTAGTCGGTGGTTTAAACTAATAAAAATGCAAAGACAAAAGCAAATTGTAAATGTATTGGTACGATCGGATAAGGAAAATTAAAGATGGTATTTGAAGGAGAATTTATACATTGTACAAAAAATGTTTTTTTTTTTACAAATTACATTGATTGTTCTCAAATTAATGTTATTTTGAATTTATACAGGCTTGATTCCAGGCATAGCATAAGATTGTAAAATTGTATATATCAAATTTGGTCAAAACCACCAAACGTGCAATGTCCACGGAAAAATAAATAATAGATCAGTGTTTAGTAGAGACCAACAAACTCCCCAAATATATATTTGTCACAGCCGGCCGGTTGTATAGGCCTACTATTCCAACAGGAACTATTTTGTCAGTGATCTGTATTTAAGTACCATCACTGTCGTTGTTTCAATACAAGGGGCTGATTTACTTCTGAGCAAGATCATTTGTACGTTTGATTAATTATAATTTACTGACTCTAATGGGAGTTTATCCTCATGATCTATTGTATTCCCTCCTAAACCTTCGACCGTGAAACAATGCACCGTTACTTTTAATTCCTTAAATACAATCACTTTCTCACACCGGGTTTTAAAATTTAATCGACAATAAACTTAATCTAAAATACAATAATGTTTCTTAATTGTACATTGAACAAAGACAGATGTTTAAATATAAACCTGTAGATTGCTTAAAAATAAACTTTTAACAGGTTCAATCTTATATATTTTAAATATTCCAAAATTCCTGAAGCGGACTAGACGATTATAACAATTTGACAAAACTAATCAATGGTTTACAGCTATATTGGAATTTGGAAATTATTCCCATGGCATTGAAAACATAAAATTTGAAACAAACTTATACAGGAAAAATTGTAACACTGGGCAGATTGGCGTATGCTAAATTAATACTAAGACACAAATAACACAGACATTTACTTACGTTCACGAGGTCGACCACACATTCATTCACACTCACGGACTACATTCATTATAAGAAACTTGGCTTGTAGGGTTTATCGAACCGAGAGAATTATTCCGACAACGATTTTTTCGATGTTTGAACAATAAATTTCTCTAGTTTTTGAGTCAGTAATTTAGATTCTGTCTCGAAATTCTATTATTAATAAACAATTCAGTAACAATTTACTATTGTGCTGACACACGCACAATATTTCCCGAATCCTTCTTTCCAAACTTCAAAGAGATAAACTTTACGAATGCACAAAAATCGTCGATACGTCCGTTCAAGACAATATTTGCCCTCCAGTCTGTTAGAGCTGTTCTGTATCCTTCCGCGATCGTCCCTGATTGGACCATTTCACCACGGTGTTTGGCGCAGATTTTAAATTTGAATGGGCAAATCGGCACACAAAACAAGTATAAATCAGTTTATGAGCAACAAAATCTTAAAGACAAGACAACACCATAGCTGCACGCTAAAAGTAGCAAAAGAATCTTACGATTAAATAGTCTACCGGTGTCCCAAATATTGTCGAGAAATCAAAAAATTAATAAGCTTAAACCTTGTGCATGGTCAATATACTTTGTCTTTACCAAAATGTCAATGGTAATGTCAATGGGTTAAGGTTCAAACTTACTAAAACTTAAAATGTGTCTCTATCCACATGTACAAGTGATATTGAACTTGAATTCACAAACCATGACATATTCAGGAGAGATCGTGACAACACGAGAATATGAGAATAATCTCACAAGTAACGAATCTGGAAACACAACTAATAATATACTATGCATATTTCTCATCATTATTGATATGGTGTCTTGATCTGGGGTAACCCTTCTCATTCAAAAAAGATGATTAAATTACAAAAAAAGTAATACAAATTATTGGCAAAGTTCATTGAAGAACTCCTACCTATTAAAAACCATTTCGAAATTGTCAAGTCTAACTTTTTACGATCACTATATTTATATTTTTTATATTTTGGAAATAGCATGCTGGGTTCATAAAACCTGTCCTATTTAGGAATATCTAAACTAAAAATAATTACAATACTAGAAATAAAAATATTACTAAACCTGTAGATAACAATTTAAAATATTCCAGTTATCACCACGATACATTGGTCCAAAAATCTTTCTTTTAGTTTTAAGTCTTAGATCCAACCATCGATACCAGGAGAGTTAGCAGTCGGCCAGGAAGAGCTATCAAAGGTAAACGATTGACATCACAGCTACTTGACAACAAATAGCATAGTTTATGTAATTGTGCTTTTGGTTATCTTATTATCCATGTAAACCTCCAATACCTGTACATTTATATAAAAAAAATCGTATTGTGGGCGAGCGCCCATTTGATCGTGTACGCCACTGCGAGTTAGACAGTCATGGATCACAGTGGCAGTGGACGACTGTACCACGACAGTTTGTCGTAGTCATGAGATTATCGTACAGTGGGCGAGCGCTCATAAGATCCAATGGTTCACTATTGGAATGTTGTTGTTCCGACACAGTGTCGTACGACCGAAATCATATAGTGGGCGAGAGGCCTATGGGGCCGAGAGATAATTGCGCCCCTCTCCACCTACCTTGTAATATAGGGGAATTGTTCTCTTCCTTCCACCCCAAACAAGCCTAAAACATCTTGCGCTCCAGGGACCTTTATAAAAGTGGCCTTGCCTATGACTGTTACATTCCTTAAAAAAAGTGATGCAAGGATACTGTCTGTAACAATTGCGTGTGCCAAATTCAATCTAAGACTAAATATTGCTATTAGTTCCCGTATATTAGGTTGTGTTTAATAGAAAATCTGCACTACCTTTCAACTTCCAATAATTCTATCCTTCTGAGGAATGACATAAGCACATAACTCTTGGCATGTAGCTGTTTTGTTAGTTTCCTAATATTTATTTGAGTCACGCCTATATTTTTATTGTATGATATTTTCATACAAACTGAAGAAATGTTTAACCGAAGTAAAAAAACTTAAAGTTATTTGACTGTTGCATGTACTGTTATTCACACTTTATATCTCATAAAAAGTTTTTAATTATATATTATTTTAAATGCATATGAGGCTAAATATATATTATCAGTTACTAGCTGAAATCAAGAACATAGACTCCATCTCTGGTTCAAACAATCTTTAAAAACTTTCATTTCATTTTTTCCCTAGGAATAATAACTAGAAGGTATATGAAAATACTCTTATGTCCCTTCATATATTTAAATATAACTTCCCGATTATTATATGGTGCTCTTATATGAATATAATAAAATAGGCCCTCCAAACACTTTCTGATACATGTAGACCATAAGTTATCATTTTTTATTACAGTTATGTAGTTAAATACCATCAAAATTATTGTTAATTTATTTTAGAGTTATGTAAATTGTTATATTTTCAGAGTTATTTAAATGTTAATTTATTTTAGAGTTAATGGTTATGTTAACAGTTTTATTTTAAAGAGTGATTGCTACTCACTTGGTCCATTCTTTCTGTTACTGTAACAGAAAAGCCATATTGTTTGTTAGACTTTAGAAAACATTGACTGTGTCTATTGTAATACTAGTATTACTTAATGACAAATGAAGATATTGAATCTTGAATCTTGATAGCTAAAACAAATGTAAAACAAAATTTCAATCAAACAATATTAATTAATTAAAACAAAATTAAAATCCATATTTTTTCCCTGAGCTGCAACGTAACTTAAGTTAAACAATTGTTAATTAACAAAACATTGTATAATTTTGATGATTTGTAGATTAGTTTAGAATGACACCCTTCAAAGTGTACTAACTGCTGTAAACATGTACAAGAAGGTAAATATATAGAAAAGATTTTACAATGGCAATGGATTTTGATTGGAGACCCCTGTCATCATTAGGACTAAGTAAAATCTTTTATATATTTTCACCGTCTTGTAAAAGTTTACAGTTTCACCGTCTTATTGTCATAGTTAAAACATACTCCCTTAGTAGATTTCCCATCCTTAAAGAACAGCTTAAGCAAATTTTGTCGTTAGTTCTGTCCGGTGCACTGTAGAGGTTGTGTTTTGTTTACAATTTGTTTCTTTGTATTTCAGTTATTTAAAACCTCATTTAACCAAATAAAACGATATAGCGCGCGTGAGTCGTGGTTAGGCGCTCACAACGATTGCGTGAGAAGAGGAATAACCTTGAAAACACCGCACGTTGATTTTGGTGCGGCGAAACGTCGGTGTTGAGAACTTTTGTCTGATATTTTAAATTTAGTTTTATTTTTATTTTTGTATATTTTTATGTGCAATGAACTGTGTATGATTGTGACATGACAAGGACTACGTTCTCGTGATTTCAATAAGGTGAGTGATGCCCAACAAAAAATTATCATACTGAAAAACTTATATTTGTTTGTACTTATGTTATAGTCATTTAGTATATTTGTCCAATAATACTGTTGCACTGTTTCTGACAAAGCAAGCATAACTGAGGAATGTTTGAGTTTGTTGACAGCATAAAGTCATGAAACAGCTATTGAAACCACACGAGCAACTCAAGTTAATAGCTCAAACCTGTATAAGTAGCCATGTCCACAACTGCAAGCCATTTCCGAGATGCAGCTGTTTGTAGCATCTTCGGTTTTAATCTCCATCGCTCTTCTCGCCCCCAGAGGTAAACTTAGTAACTAAATAATTCCTTGTTAGCGTAACAGAGGTTATTAGGACTAAATGAAAAAGAAATTGCTTCTAACATTTTATAACCTATTTAGATCTACTTTGTATTCATTTGATATGATAAATATAGATGAATAGACGGTAAGTTGTGACTGATTGAATTATAGGTACTTGAATTATTAATATAATTAGTTTATGTTCCAAAGCTATTTTCTAATATCTCTGATAGAAATTCACCACCACTTGTCTTATAAGAATTTACCAATCTTATCATGAATAAGAATACTATAATAAGCATTTTGTCAAGTTTTTGGTTTATTTATCCTTTATGAATAATAATCTATTAAATTTGGTTTGAGTAAAACATAACACCTTTTACTTATTAATAAAATATTTGTTCTGCTTAAGTTATTAGTTGAAAATCGGATATTCGTTTTTATAAATTACAAAAAGAAATTTGTTATTAAATGTTTATAGCTGATGGAATTATGGGTTAAATGTTTCATTCTAGAAGATAAGAATAGAGAGAGTGCTTTTGTTGACAGTGGAAGGAGGATGTTCTCTTTCCTGTGCTGAAGACCAGAAGCCTGTTTGCGGACACAGTCGGAAATATGGTTATAAGAGCTTTGAAGATAAGTGTGACTTGGAGCAAGCAAACCATTGCAAAGGAGGAGGTAGGCAAAATGAAAATGTAGGGAAATACTGTTTCGTCATTATAATAAATTTTAGTTTATACCTACAAACTATTTTAAAGTTTTGAAAATATAACCAAACCCCAAAAATATATTATACCATATAGAGGGTGTTCAAAAAAGGTGGGGACATAATTTATGTAGGTAGTGATTCCTTGGGTCAAAATAAAGAGAAAATCAAGAATAACATTTTTATCAAAATCGCTTCGTTAACCAGATATAAGCCATTTTGTATTTTTTACATACAATTTTTTTAACTGATCCTTATGAAACTTAGTGTGTATTTTAAGGCCAAGTCACACCGAGCTCGCTCACTTCCGTGGAGGAAGCGAATTTAAAAAAATCACTCACCATGTTATCAAATGTGTCCACGCCCGCTTGCTGAGTGACTTTTTGAGACTAGCGCGGCGGGAGTTTTGTCTAGCACATGCGCAAAGGTGCATCTCGAATGGCCAAGCTACTTTAAAGTTTTTAAAGTAATACAGCTTAATACAGTTTGAAATTAAATTTAACATGTTTCTTTTGTTTGATGATGTATGTTGTTTTGTATTATCCCTTTACTACTATGTAGTCAATTGTTTTCGTAATATTTTCATCACCAGAAACAAATCACGATTGTGTACCATGCTAAAATAATGTTTACGGTGCAAATTTAATGTTTCCTATCAAATTTTTTATATTGTCGACGTAAACAAACAATTTTTATTTTATTTTGATTGTTTCATCACCTATCATTCATGTTATTCTGTCGTCAACTGTCAATTCGCAACAACCAAAACTGTACAATCAATGTAAACTTAAACTTTTAATAGAAGACTTAGAAAAGTAAGTTACCATTAGTTTAAATGTTTGTATGATTTTATTTAAAAAGTAATAAGTATTTATACTGTAGCGAAAAATAACGTTCAAAACACTGAATGTGGATAATTTATCCTCAACCATATTTAAAATGCTTGCACTACAAACATTTAAGGTCTAAATATAAAATAATAATAGTTACGGTTCACTTTTTAATGTACACTAACAAATAAATAAACATTCAATTTCTCTTCTTAAACACTTTACTACATAAAAAAATACGGAAAATTTACATGGCATGGTACTAAATTGGTAAGATGTGTTTCTTATGTAAAACAAATTGTAATGAAATCACCTCAAAACTCCCGCCGCAGACGCGGTACTTTTGGTGTAACATGGCTCGGCGGATGTCAGTGTGACACGGCCTTTAAGGTAAAAGTTAGAAAAAAAATCATCTTTATTCTGATTTAGTCTGCAGATTTGCTGCGGTGGGGTTATTTTAAAAGTCAGGTAATTACACTTCTAAGAATATTCATTGGGAACCTTTGTCTCGGATAATGAAGGGGGGCTTATTATTAAGTATAATTAACGGTTAGTTCTACCTTGTTAAAAATAAAACAGTGAGGAAACAAATAGTAATTTGATAAACCTCCTGTATAACTAGTTTATATTATGAGGAATGAACTAGAAATCGAAATTTTTTTTGATAAATCATTTTAAAAATTAAGTATTGATTGAAATATGATAATACAGTGGAGTCCCGATAGACTGAACTTCGGTAATCCAAAAGTCCGCATAATCCAAAACCAAAAAATATTTTATTTTTAAAATTTTTAAATTTTTTAAAAATTCATTTTAAAATTTATTTTTGATTTTTGCCCAGTACGGGCTTTCACTTACTGCTTACACTTAAGTCGAAACTACTAGTACCGTCGCGTGAATTAATGCAGTTTATTGTAGACACAAAAATTGATGACCCAGTACGTGCTGTCACCCATTGGGTAAAGCCGAAACTGCTAACACTATCGTGTAATGACAGTTAGCTGTACCTCGTTGAAGTATTCTATAGCGGCCGGGCGAGATAGAATTGTTGTATAGAGTATTTTAGTTAACATTTGGCATTTTTCATTTTCGTCCCGGGTCCCAATCCCGCCAAATCACCAATAGAGTTTATCTAAGTGATAATGCCGCAACCCCTAGATCTAGCCTAAAGTAATGTAAAAAACAATCCCTGGCTCGTGCCTAGCGTCCTAGGACAAAAACAAATTTTAATTTTAAAACAATTAAAAAAACAATAAACCAAAATAACGTTAAATAACGACTATCGGGACTCTACTGTATTGTTTCGATCTATAATAAAACAGCTTTATGTGGACAAGTAGGTGGTATTGAGGATGTATTGTGGTACGAATGCTGAATAATTTATGTTAAAAAAATGTGCATTTATTAGTTTCATTCATGATAAGTACACCAATACACATCGGTTATTGCAAGCGTTACCATTTTGCTAATTGAATGAAGCTCTTTGAATTTTTGTATTTAAAAAATTCTCATTCTGATGTTAATAAAAATATAAATAAATATTAAATATATATTAATATAAGGAAAGGCCATTTACTATTGACAATATTGTTTGTATTAAAGTGCAGTTTCTGAGATAATATATAGTTTTAAATTATTCTTTATTTTATTAATTTCATTACTTATTCTTTTTATAGATTGGTGTCTGATTCATCAAGGAAAGTGCTCACATACTGAAATAGGTAAGCCAAAATTTACTACAAACAAAGGGAAGGTTAAAATGTTTTGTTAATCACTACTTTTGGACTGAAACTAGAAAAGAGTGATTTTCAACTTAAAGATTTAAATAAAAATTTTTCTTAAAGTTGTTTGGACTTTTGGCGTTCTTACTAGAGTGACACACACATACATACATATATATAAGGCTTAGTTTGGTTTTACTTTTTGAAAGATTTGTATATCCTCCACTCCTTCATGTCTGTGCAGCCACCCAGGTTTCATACTAAATAAAATCTGGAAGTAGGATGGGTTTGAAATTCTCATGGGTGCTGAAAATTACCACTCCTACATTTCATATCCTTTGAAATTTCACAACATTCATAGGGTTGCCATAGGGTAATTTGTAAAAAAGAGGAGATTTTAGCTGGCGGTCCCCAATACAGTAAATAAAAATTTACGGGCTAGCAAAATTGTATACCTACATAGCAGAAATATTATAACAAAAACTGTATGGGCCATAGACATAAAAAAAGTCACTGGCCCGGAAGTAAACAAGTTTTTTTTATTCATATTTAAATGGAAATGTCAAAAAACGCCCAAACCAGTTGTTACGGCTATTAGAAGGCCTATTGACATTCGGGCCAGTGACGTCATTTGTTTATGTTTATTAATCCATAACTTTTCTGTTTAATATTCATGCTACAATGTCAATAATCAAATATGGTACGCGAAAGCATAAAATTTGCATTTTGCTTGTCGCATCTCACTAAAAATATCGAATAACGTAAACAAAACGCTCTCCGTCTGCTAGACTCGGTTCGGCTTTGGTAGTGAACACGGATACAGTACCTTCAGACTTCGGACTGGCCGGCAGACGCGAATTGAAGGAATGGGAGCAATGAAACAGACGATAAACTAAGGACATTGCTGGCCAAAGAGAAGCTAAGGAATAAAAAAAACCGTTAGTATTCCAAAAGTGCCGTTAATAGAGAGTCGTTATATTGTAATAGAGAGTAAAAAATTAGGAGATTTCTCACTTTTTGCAGAAATCCCCCGAAGCTAAATTTTGTACGTCAAAATCTGGTAATCTCTGGGGAAATCCGGAGATATGGCATTGGCTACCCTAACCATTAAACATTTCATGTGTTGAAGCATTGCCCAACTAGCTCATCATGCTTGCAAACTTTACAAGTACTGGAGAAAGTCTAATACATCACAGTTTATGGAGCTGTGGTAAACTGCATTGATGTTGATAAGACGTTAAAATGTTTTAAGATATTTTTCACTGTCTGACAAAGGTCAGACTACGCCTTTCACCCAACAGAAGTCCAACACCACAGGCGTCAATTCCACAAAACTATAATAGTCTCTCCCTATTTTGCTCCACAATCCATTGCTTCTCCATGAAATGTACAACAGCGAGCTCTTGATTGAAACATTCACCATAAATGATATGGTGACATTATAAATAGACAATAATCAAAGTAGGCTTATAACAAAATATCGATGTTCACTGAAAGGGATAATCTGCTATGGAGCCTGGGATTTCAGTCAAGGGTTTCAGAGACTGGTGTAATAACATTAGACACTTAAAGATTAATTTATAACAAACTAAACAAAACAGAAGACCAATTAGCTTTTGCGTATTGTTGTGTTAGATGTAGTGTACTGTCGGTCTAAGAGAGTTACCAAATAACAGCACCCTTAAATATTTTTTTGCTAAAGCATGGGTCAAGTTGCCATCTATCCACTAGCTATTTCAGGGCTTTAAAATGTTTTTTTCACTAGTTTGTTTTTATTGTAGTTATGTCAGGGTGGTTTGGGGTATGATTTTGGCTATATGGAAGTTTTTATATAATTAACACATTTGCAGAACTTTGTGTATTCTTTTGAAAAATAAAAACATGTTTTCATATTGTAATACAGATTTTATTTTGTCTTTAGGAGGATGTCCACAGTATTGTGAAGAGGTTTGTGGCTACAGTCCCTCTCAGGGATACAAAAGCTTCATCAACAAGTGCTATCTGGACATAGAATCTAGCTACTCAGGTTTGTTGCACATTCTAAATATGTAGTATCAAATCAGTTTTTCTTTACATCTATCTATACTCAGATACAGTTGAATTGAAGCAGTCATGTTGCATTGCTCTCTTACAGTAATGCCAATACAAAATTTTATTTTTAGGGCGTTTTCCTCATCAAAAATTGAAACAATATTGTATTTTGTTATTTTAGATTATTATTATACTTAAACAAAGAATAATTTGGTTTGCTACAGGTCTCAAGTGGCACTCCGTCCATGGTCATAACGGAGTTGGTTCAGGATTTTTCTGTTGTAAAATTCACTTAATTTAGTTTTACCAGAATTTAGAATAAGATGATTTTTGCTGCACCAATTTGACATTTCAAGCAAGCCAGTTTGGGCGTTTTCAATTGGGATGTTTCAAATAGAGCTTGGGACTAGGTGACAAATGTCATGAGCAAAAAACCATAGATTTCCAGAAGATATGAAGCCAGGCAAGTCATTCACGTATAATAAAAAAGATAGGTCTGAGGTTTGATCCCTGGAGGACACAGATGTTCAGAGCTGGTGAAGGAGATGACTTATATGACCGGAGGATGTTGTCAGGGCCTCTGTGCTTCAAGGATACTATCATGTGTCCATCTTTAAGATAGGAAGATATCCATATCGCAGCGGGTGTCCAGAAATGCCAAGGGCCAGCTTATCCAGAAGGTTACTGTGATCAAAAAGGCCAAAGGCCTTTGTTATGTCGTAGGAAAGACATAATAGGTGGTTAGATATGTCAAGGTGGTTGTATACTTCCTTAAAAAGAGCAAAAATGGTATCACAGGTAGACATGTTTTTTTCTGAATCCAAATTGCAAATTTAATAAGATGTTTGATTCAATAAAATTCAATATTATATAATATATAAAAGTATTATATAATATTTTTCTGATATGTCTTTTCTTAGTGGAGCATATTGCTACAGGGCATTAATTAATGAATGTTTCTAGATTACAAGTTTGCTCACAAGGGTGCCTGCACTCCAAAAGAATGTACGTAGCACAACAACCTTCCTTTGAGGTTTAAAAAAAATATGTTTAGATTTTCAAATATAGGTATAGATGTTTAATTTAAATGTTTAGGAAATACCCATCCACTTACATTCTCAAGACAAAACACTGAAATAGCACTGATCATTTTTGATCAACATAATGTTTATACTAATATGAGGTACATACCTTTATAATGTTTATTTTGGCATATATTACAATTACAGCGAACTTGGATCTGTGTTATTTGACAAATAAGAGGGCTGCATCATATTATTTAGTGTACAGTAGTTACTTTTTCTTAAAAAAAAACCGTTTTTGATTTATTGTCTGAACCTATTTTAGATATATTGGCTTAGAAAATTCTTTTCAAGTTTGCCAAGAGTGATACAAAAATTCATTCGTTAAAATGGAACAAAAACTGAAAATTTGAGAGGGTCTAGAATCTAGATATGGTTCAGTAAAAAACCATATATCAGGATTTCAACTACAGTAAAAGTGTTGTTAAGGACAGGAATTTGATTCGCTAACAATACCTTGGTACCTTCTGACAATTTTTGGTGCAGCCCTTTTATATGCTCTAGACTTGAGACATTGGGGGGAAGTCTAATTATATGCAAGTTGCTAAATCTGACAACTTCTTTTAACTATTGTTAATGCACAGTTTTGGACTTTGTAAAAGTAGAATCTCTTTCCTTATAATATTGTACCCCCTCTCACTACTGGCAATTGTATATTTCTAATCATTTTTTACTAGGGCAGTTTAGAGAAAAATACTCTTAAGAAATGTGCTTTTGATTTTTGAAGTGTATTACAATCTGATAATTTGTTCAATCAAGCTATTGTTATTAATCTTTTATAGTGTCCTCTGCAAGATGTCCTTGGGTTTGCCCAAAACTCTTTGCACCTGTTTGTGTGTACAGTCCCAACAGTGGTTACCGAACCTTTCCCAACAAATGTTTGTACGAAGCAGAAAACAGGTGTCACTATGGAAGTAAGTGCTGTTTTTATTTAAAGTAAATTAAATATACCTCAAATACGAGGGCAGTTCTTTAAGTAATAGCTTAAGTTTGTAATCAAAAAACTTCTCTAATCTTATCTCGCACGCGAAAGGAGATTCGATAGTTTAAGGAAATTAAAAAAACACGCAGCAAAACATGCATGTCAGCTACAGAGATGCAAATGGTGTAATTCTAATCACAAATGAAATGATGCCATTAAGTGGTGAGGAGCCTCATTGTGGAATACAAGCGAACTACAGATCTATATGCAAAAACACCCCTTGCTTAAATAACTGCCCTTGTATTTAACTACCACAATATTGCAAATGTCTCAAAGTTACAAACACATACAAAGTGAAATGAAGTGATTGAGTCGGAGGCTTAGTTGGTAGCAAGACAGACTGAAACCGAGGTATCGATGTTTTGGGTTCACGTTCACATCTCAGTTTATCAATACAGGTCATTTTTGTACTCTAATAGCTCACCCTTTGCTTTGCTTGATACATTAAGATCTGAGGCCCTGTGTGGTGGGCAAATTTAAGGTCAAAAGAAGCTGCCAAGCTCTAAAAAATGGACATAATTATGGCGTAAATAAACTGTATTGGACCTGCCTTACTAACAAAGAGAGTGAACAATTCATTTACCCCCTCAAAAATCAATCACTCCCAGCTACCTCGAGGGTAAGAATAAATTGGCAGGCAATAATAAAGTATAAAAACAAAACAAAAAGAAACAGAAAATAAAACAGGTACGGTAAGGCTAAAATGTTTACTCACTTTGAAGGAGTAAACAGTCTGAATCAAACATGTTATACAACTAAACTCTTCCCAAGCTTATTATCAGATGGAATGAGTACAATTAATAATATATATAATATAAATATTTTATTATTTATTTTAAATTTTTCATTAGATGCAATTCTGCTTATACAGTGTGTAAATTAAGTATGGAAACAAATCTGTATTTTTAAAACCGAAATAGATAGAAATATTCTATTTGTGGCAATAATAGTTAACAAAGATTCCGCAATTTTTCACATGAAAAATATTTTTTTACCCCCCTAACAGGGTAGGTGGTAGGGGGTGACTTATTTTTTTCAAATAGCAACCCCTATTGAGTGACCCCTCATTTTGAAGGGTTTGTCAAAAGAAACACAATGACGCAAATCCGAGGTGAATATCTCACTCCTAGCTAACATGGCGGATATTCCAAAATGGGCTTTTTTTTTACAAAAATTAAATTTTTCATTACCCACCATTTAGGCTAGGGGTGAAATATCTACCTCGGGTTTGCGTCATTCTTTTTCTTTTAACAAACCCTTCAAAATGAGGGGTCACTCAATAGGGGTTGTTGTTGAAAAAAATAAGTCACTCCCACCCCCTACCCTGTTAAAGGGGTTGAAAAAATATTGTTGATTAAAAAAATTGCGGAACCTATGTCAACAATCAATTCCACAAACAGAATAGGTATTTCTATCTATTTCGGTTTTAAAAATACAGATTTCTTTCCATTATTTGTGAAATTGGTGCTTTTCACGTACAATAAATCAAATTTTGGAATATCCGCCATTTGGGCTAGGAGTGAGATATTCACCTCGGATTTGCGTCATTGTGTTTCTTTTGACAAACTCTTCAAAATGAGGGGTCACTCAATAGGGGTTGCTATTTGAAAAAAATAAGTCACCCCCTACCACCTACCCTGTTAGGGGGGTAAAAAAATATTTTTCATGTGAAAAATTGCGGAATCTTTGTTAACTATTATTGCCACAAATAGAATATTTCTATCTATTTCGGTTTTAAAAATACAGATTTGTTTCCATACTTAATTTACACACTGTATATAAATTAATGTTTTGACCTTATCAATTTATAGATTACATAGTTGGGAGTTATTGGTACAATTGCTTTTCATTTGACATATTTTACTTAAATATATGAGTTCAATAACATTTTAAAACTAGATTTTAACACTGAGCTCTAAGTGTCTCTTGTAATAATTTTAAAAACGGACGTGTTAACATGTAGGATTTGTGAAAATTCCTCAGAGTTCACAGACATCCTGCAGATCTTCAAAGGTCAAAGGTGGTTGAAATCAACCAAACAATCTTTTGGAAGGATAAAATTCAAAATTGAAAATTGCATTAAATGAACAGCGTTAATTGAGGAATTCAACTATTTGATGGTAATCTATACTGAAAATTTCCAATAAGGGTTCGGTTTACAAAAAGGGTTTTCTCTGTAACACCCCTTTTTTAGTCCTACTTAACCGATTTTTATTTTTTACGATTGAGGTGTCATGGTAAAGCTTAATTTAGTGGAGTGAGGAATAATACTGTAACTAAATAGGTCCTTTCCTTAAGGTATTTGTCCCCCTTGCGTTTGATTTCTTTCTAGAATTTGCTTTCAAGTTTCAAAGACCTGGCGATGCTGACAAAATTTATTTAGCAAAATGTGAATGGTAACTTAAGATTTGATCCTTCATTTAAATGTTAAACCACAGTTAGTTTGTAAACAAGAGACAAAACATTTTATGCATGCCGTATTAGTTTTTAACGGGAAACCTTTATTATGATATAACAAGATTGAGGTACATAAATAACTCGTTATTATGTACATTTACAATTAATAGTTTATTGTAATTTAGTAGTTTTATTAGCCTAATAACTTCCTGAAACAAACATAAACTCTGAAAGGTAAAAGGGTATTGTATTTTTTCAATTGCAAACAAATTTGAATGCTATTAAAATATACAATATGTGCATGGGTCCCCTTGTGTATTCTTTATTTATGAGATAATGCTTAATTTTCAGCAGCTTGATAAAATATATTGCATACTTATCTAAGTTTGTTTTTGAAGGACTTAAGAACTGAATATGTGTATGTCTTAGGTTACTCATTGAAACACACTGGTGCATGCACTGAAAAAGAGATTGGTAAGTGGATCATTATATTTTAAAGACCTAACTTACACATTTATAATTTATAAAACCACTCTCTCTAGTTGAGAAAGTAGTAAGTGACTTAGCTGTTTTAAAATGTGTTGTGTTAGTTTACTCACTTTTATATTCATTTACTTGTGGATCAATTAAAGTTCATCCAGTTTAAAGATGAGCTTGGTTTTTCTCCAAGAATTGACGTGATCAGACACTTCCCCTAGAAAATCTCAGCAACATTGTTGTTACTAATCTTTGTTTAATAGTTTTTTATAATAGTTTGAAACTTGAATAATACAAAATATGGAAGACAAGTTAAACAAAAAATTGAACTAATTACTCAGCAGCAATCTTTTCCTGTTTTGGAACGTAACATAAGTTTTGGAATTGTACTCTATCAAAACTACAAAACTAATAGAGTGTCTCGATGATCAAAGATTACCTTTACTTAGTCAATACCATATGGTACCGGTAATTGTTTATTTCATTGAGTAGGGATACAATTTATTTTATTTATTCATTTCATCAGTATGCAGGTTTATTTATTTATTTACAAAAAAAGAAGAAATATAGTAATGACAATACTGTAATTCTAAGAAAAAAAGTAGGCAGTTTATCCTTTGAATAACATAGATGCTTGCTGAAAAAGCTAGATACTGTATATTGACAATATAATATGCTATATATGATCTAACAAAGAAAATATTAAAGGATTTTTACGACTTTATGAACAAAATATGTAGGTTTACCTAATGGTTGCCAGGTTCTTGAAGTATGTTTGATATGAAGCCCAATGTACATTTCACCACATGTGTGGCTTCATTAGGAACTAGTTTATATTTACATCACTTCTTAAAAACACTACACTATTTATTTATAATGGTCAACGGACAATTTACAAAGCGGGCGTTGAAACCGGAGACGTTACATTTGTCACTTTCTGATTGTTGAGTGGGTCTGGTAGTGTTGGCTTGAGGTATGGTTGTGATATTGTGATGTTGGAACTTTCATTCTAAGACAGTGGTGTTGTCGGTTCTCTGCAGCATTAGAAGTGATAGTCTTGTATTGAATTGTAAGGGGTCCCGGCACATCATCTGAAGCTTATTGTGCATCTAACTAGGTAAGCCTATACCCGTGTCCTTGAACTTTTGCCCAATGTTAGCGTTTGATTCATCACCCAGCTGCTTTAGACCGTACAGAGCCTCAAGCCTGTTGCAATACAGAATGATGTGCTTTGCAGTCTCATGGACTGGTTGTAAAGTCAACAATCCTATGGTTGACATTGATGATTCCCAGAGTTTGATGGTGTTTCTTGAAATGGCCGTGTCCAGAACGACTCAATAGTCAGGCAATTACAAGTGTAGCGTCTCTCCTCTCCTCACGTGTTCCTACGCCTGCGTCATAAATCGTCTACCAATCAAAGTAAATAAATAGTGTAGTTTTTTTTTTTTTTATATATATAAATACATTTTGCTCCTGGTGATGCACACTTGAGCCCAAATACATATTAGGCATACTTAAAAAACATGGCAACCATAAAGGAAACATTCATATGAAATCAAATTTTCTTATTCTTAGTATACAAGTAGTGCATTTAAATAGCGTCAGTATAAAGATTACGATAATTAACTATAAAATACATAAAAGGTTACATTAATTTTTAGAGTGATAGAGACTTTTCTTTAAAAAAAATAACAATATTGTAATACTGTACAAATTCAAGGAATCGTTCTTAAGACTAGGAATACTACACAAATTTATGAACTACTCGTCAGACAAAACATACTTTCAAGATTCAACCCCCTATCTTTCTATTTATATCTTCCACCCTTAAAATACATTATAGATTCGTTTGTTTATAGATTCCAACTGCAATTGGTTCTGCACAGAGGAATACAGACCTGTTTGTGGCTTCAGCGAAGAAAAGGGCTACAAAACCTTTGGAAACTTGTGTATCTTCTACAAAGAAAACTCCTGTCCCAAGTTTGATTCCAGTATGAGATTGATTTGATTTATTTTGATTTGATTTGATATAACAGATATATTATAATACAGGAAGAATGCAACAGTTTGTTCCTCTAAGAAATTCATTCCAAATAAATTTTTATAGAAATGTATTTTTCTAGATATTTAACTTTTTCAATTATGTAAATACATGCTAATGGTAATCCACAAAATGTACTCAGAAACTAGTTTGAGTATAACATTGGTACCATCTTCAGTTTGTACCAGGATGTATATTTTCCCTTTGTCTTGTTTTGCTATAACCTTCATCTTTATCAAATATAAAACTATTGTTTTAATCTTCTGTGGGAGATGACATATGTCAAGATATGTCCTATTACAGCCTGATATCATCATTTTTGTATTGAAACTAGTTTCTGAGAGCATTCTAGGGTATGGATTACCATAAGCCAATATTTTCATAATTTCCCATATTTATCTGAAATTTTGAGGCTATTTACGATCATTTCCATTTTGTAATGTGGGGACTACATTAAACATTCAGAGTTAATTAACGTTTAGTATACTCTTTAATGAATGTCATAGGTCTTAATTACAGTAATTTCAGTCTTAATATTTCATAATTATTTTTGATGCATCCCTAATCTAAGTAGTTGTAAATTCCACTATTAATTAAACTACTGAATCTAATACTATTATGTAACCTCTTTTATATATTCTAATACTTCATGAACTTAAATTCTCGGTAACGTTATCAGAATTATTGTAGACTTTTAACAAATTATAACATCTGCATTGGAAGCTTCTTCTAAAATTAACATTGATCCTTCAAAATGTTGCTATAGTAATCTCTCAATCCTTAAATCTGGTGACAAACTTATAATCATGAGTAATATGACGTTAACTCTGTTTCAGATTACAAACTGGTACATTCTGGTGAATGCAAAAAGGAAGAAAAAGGTAAAAATTGTATACATTTTTAAAATCACTAATAAATTTCTCTCCTGAATCTAAAACAGGATGTTTTCCTTTTAGAGAAATGTTCGTACAGGTGTGGGATGCTTTGTTATTATTCCCTTTATGTTTTACTAAATCACTTTTAAAGACATATGCCTTAGAAAATACATAAACATCATTTGCATCACTTAATAGGATAAAATATCATTGCAATACTGACTCATCATAATACTCGTTAAAATACTCATGAAATAATCATTTTCTGGTTAAAGTGATACGTTAAACACATTACTTACAGAAATGTTTAATAAATAAAGGTAGTGATTGAGGTAATAGTATATTACGTTACTAGTCCTGAAAACAGGTGTTTACCGGACGAGTGTGGTCGTTCCCGTGCGAGATGAAGTCAAGTTCGGGATTACCATACGAGTCCGGGAAACACATTTTGGACAGGTGACGTACGATGTTTTATGCCATACTACTCTAAGAAGCTAACTGATCAATAAAAAATCCCTACAAATCCTTATTCCCAATGACTAACAATCACTACTCATATCCAATAAGAGAGGTTATGTTTTTGTTTATGATCACTCATTGCCAAATAAAATCAGCTGTTTGGTGTCTTTTAAAATTATTGAATCCCCCACATGCTAGATAAAGTCAGTGATATGTTTTTTAACCACAAGAAAGTCAAGCACAACGATGCCGACATTCATTGCCAGATGACTGAAGGTTATGAACCTAATGCAATGAGTGAGGGTAAAGTGCTGAAATTTATGGTTAGGGAGTGCAAAAATGGCTGTGAAAACTTTAGTTTTTGATAATTTGTGAGAAGTCTGAGTACCCACCAAAAACACAGCTCCTTCCAAAATGAAAATTTTCAGGTCATTTTTAAACTCTCTAACCCATTTATGCTCTTTCACGACTCATTGCATCAGGGTCATCAACTTCAGTCACCTGGCGATGAACGTCTGCAGCCGATATGTTTCTTGCAGTCAAAAACATATCACTGACCTTATCTTGTATGCAGCAGGAGATTCTATAACTTTAAAATTGTTCTAGACACACTGCAAAGTGTGAAGCTACAGAGCTTCAAATGGCGCCGTTCTGTTCACAAATGATGCCAGTAACCGGCGAGCAGCCTTGTAGCATCAAACAAGCAATCTAAGAAGCTATACGCACAAACAGAGTTTACTTAAAATCAACCCTCGTATTTTAGGTTGAGAAAGGTCTTGAATATAAAAATGGACTGAATTCTTCAAATAACCCCAGCTATTCTTATGTTCTTTCAGAATCATTCTGTAAGCCTGGGTTCTGCCCAGAAACTGGGGAACCTGTTTGCGCTGTCAGTCTTCCGTACTATCGAACCTTCCGCAACAAATGTCTCTTCTACGTTGAGAACAGCTGCAAATACGGAGGTAGGATTGTTTATGTACAACAAAGAAAATTTGACCCAAAAGGGTCAAGGGGATGATGAATACTCAGCACTGCTTTCCTACCTAATAATATTATATAATTGTTGCTATAATAATTTTCCGGTGTATTTCAAAGGGCTAAATAAATGTTAGAACCTACCAATCACCACGGTTTTTAGCTAAGTGATAATGCTGTGGTTTGTAGTTCACTTTAATCTGTTGGTCCATCTGAAAGAAAAAAAAAAAAAAAAAACTGTTCTTTTGGTGAGGAAAACTGTCACGTTATTGTAGAACACATTTTTTGTACACTACCCAATATGTATAGGCCAATCACCGGAGAGTAGGTAGGCAAGATTTAATTTAGAATTATTATCCTTCAACACCAAGCTAACAGCTAAGATGGTGTTTGCTGAGATAACCTATCATTTGGTGATTTCCCTCAGATGGTAGGATGCTGCACAAATTACTCCAATGCATGGTAATAACAAATTATAATTTTATTCTTCAAAATAATGAAAATCCTTTATAATCTTCCTTATAAATGATACCTAATATTACTATATCAGTAATTAAATGGCAACAGTCTTACTTGGTAAAATTCCTACGATTTGACTGGCTTAAATAGGCTGTGATTCCCAGTTCCTACGGACTATGACTGTTTCAAGTACAGTAGGCCTAATGCTTGAACTCGTCTGTAACAATTTCAAAAGAAATAATAACAGGTAAACTAAAGTTATACTAATTTCACATAGTTGAAGCAAACAGAATTAATTTAAGGTGATTTTACAATTTACAAAATATTCTCAGAACATGTGCTTTTTCATCCAAATGTAACATGAAAGTTGAGTATTTAATATTTAACATTTACAAAGTTACTAACTGACAGACAATCAAAAGAATATATATAATCATAGGTAAAAACATGGCAATCAAGATTATTTACAATACAAACCACATAAATCAATTTTCTTATTTTTAAAATGTTTTCTACTTACATTTTCACGAGTTTGTACAATTTTTAAGGGAAACAGCCAACTAAGAAAGATTTGAAGAAGCAGCTCATTACAAAAATGACTTTAGTTAATTAACAGCTGTTCTCCAGTTCTGCCAACAAGGTGAAGTGTAAATACAGTGAAACTAGTTAGCCATTGATCATTATATTATATGTACATTATATATTCTGTGAATTAAAATAATTTAAATTTAATAAACATTTCCCTTACATCAGTATACAGAATACAGAACACACAGAAATTTCTTTTTACTAGACAGTTAGACGATTTTAATCAGTGGATAAAATTTGTAGTATGTGCTGTTGTAGCCCAAGTAAAAAGTATTTTAAACATTTAGTGGAAAACGCAAAACAGTGATCCTAAACAATCTATAACATTTTTGTTCCAGATTTCAAGATTGTTCATAAGGGCGAATGCTCCGTTACTGAAACTGGTAGGTATTTTATTTCTTTCACAATAATTAAGATTTGTCAATCATAAATTTTGTAGCCAAATTTTTTTCCGTTTCTTTGTTAGAGTTGATGTCTGAGTTATAACTTTTATTTTAATTTATTGATGAAGGTTACTAATTAAATTAAAATATACATTTAAGAATATTAAAAAAATAGTTTACAATACAAACAAAATGTTCTAAAATTATGACATGTCCAAAATATCATAAAACAATTGTGTTTGTAATTGAATCCAAAATATAGATTATATAAAAAATATTTTACTCAAAATAAGATACTTGGTTATAATGAACAGTCTATTCTGCATTGTTTTAGAATTAAAAACAAATAGTTGAAACCATATTTAATTCATTTCTCGAACAAGGACGCAGTGATTGTGCCGAAAAAAATGTTTCACCTCTATACAGTATATTATATCTATAAAAATATATAACCACAACTAAGAAATTGTGGACTTATTTAGCTCTGAAAATATGATACAGTACTGAATATTCACATGTTGTCTGTGTATGATTTTCTCTTAGTTTACTTTTATAATAACGAATAATTTAGAAAAAATAATTTATATAATTATTGATTCAACTCATTCTTAACCAATGAGCTAGCTGTCCCCACTATAAAGTAGTTAACTCAACAATCATTTATACACAATTTTGTTTGGCAATTGATTACAGGTTTTACATTCATACAATATAGATACATCAATTTTAGATCTACCATTATTTCCTTATGATTGTGTTTTTACAGAATTACGACGCCTATTAGCTCGATACACTGAATTCTGATGTTTTGCTAAATGAGTTATTGTCTGGTGTCTGTGTTTGTGTTGTATTTGAATTTGATTTGTGTTGTGACATGAGTCATGTATTCTTATTTCCATGTTATTCATTCTCTTATAGGAGTCCTTACAGCATTAAATTATTAATTTCACCTCTTATAGTCGTAAAGTAGGTATATAATAAGGCATCAGGAGCTACGTTAATTTTGTATAATTTATTCGATCTGACAATTTTGGTCAAGTAATTGGCTGATTACCGGTATCAAAATTCAGTTTAAGAAAATGATTATATTTTATTTAATTGTGTAATATAGGACAAGTTTTGCCATGGTTAAGGTGTATTGTTTGTCCTAAACAGAGAAGAGCTGTAAGGAGAAGTGTTATCACTCAGAGGAACCTGTGTGCGGTTACAGTTATGCAAGAGGCTACAAAACCTTCACTAACAGATGTTATCTCAACTATGAGAACTCGTGCTACGGATCAGGTCAGAGATTTCACAACTTACTTTTATTAAATAGAACACTGTGATAAAATATTTATTCACAAACGAGAAGATTGTGTTGATTTTTATACATTTGTTAAATTAAATACTTGGTTCTTTAGCTGGCAAACAAATAAACTGTGCCATCATTAATATTAGATGCCACTCGTAAACTATTGGATTTAGAGAAAATTGTAAACTGTTAAATTAAACAATTTTGTTTTGACAGAAAAAAATATTTTATCAATTGTTTTTTTAAATGACCACCATTTTGTAGCACCTTATGTTTTATTATGTTATTATAATTTAAATAGACCTTAAAATCTTTTTTATTCTTGTCATTTTTTTACTCTGTAGATTATGCCGCTGTTCATCGTGGGGAATGCAAAAAAGAAGAACTTGGTAAGCATTCATTGAGAGAATAAATCCTTTTGAGAAATCAGCTAAAACACACAACACAAAATAAGAAATAGACTATGATATCATTTAAACATCTGTTTAACAAAATTGGTTATTCATTATAATTTAAATTGACTTGGTAAGCATTCATTGAGGGTATAAGGCTCTTTAAGAAATCATCTCACTCACACAAAATTAAACAACCTAAAATAGCGTTCACATATCAGTTTAGTAAAATTATTTATTGATTGGTGTGACAATTTATGACCGGTCCCTCTGCAATATTTGCTCACAGGTCTCAGGTTTTGTTACAAACATAACACAAAGTACTCTTGAATGTTCAATAAAGGGTGGAGGTAATTGCTAATAAATTTACTAATAAATTGAATTCTTGTATATATTTATTCTAATATGCCATTCTAAGTGTCAATTACAATGCATGATTTGTATTGTTAAGTCACATATTCATTTGCTGATCTTCAACCACTGTATTGTGAATTTATGGGATGAATAAATTCAACTAAATTGATAGAGGGAGCAAGCTGGTATAGTGGAGTGAAAATTTAAAAACGTACGTTTTCATGTCCCTGGCCTTTTACTTCGTAGATACTGGAGTTATAGTTTATTATTATGTGTTTTAATATTTTTTGGGACGGGGGCAACATGTTACACACATTTATTTGGTTTTAAATAGGATCTAGGTATTTTTTTCGTATTTTTAAAGTCTCGAAATTCACGACCATGACGTGTCCCTAGGGTACATTTTCCAACTTTCACGCTGTTTTTAGACTAATAATTCATGCCGAAATATATAAAGCCATATGTTTATGTCATCAATGGTTATTAAACTTACAAAAAAGGAGCATATTATAATTTTATTGTCATTGCAGACTGACTACCATGACAAAATAAGTCTGTCCCTCGATTTGGCGTCACGACCATTTGGGAAAAATTTTCAACTTTGGAGCACGACAGTGGCAAGCCTGGCGTCGATGGAGTCAGTTGGTTTTATAGACTAGTTCGGGGTGTACGTCAGGATTGTAGTGCCGGTCGTTTTGAGTTGAAAGGAGGAATTACAAGATTAATAAAGGAAAGATTGTGTTTTTTGTAATTTTGGTGTGTCCATGACCGTACGTAGTCATTCGATGAAGTAGACATGGTGTTAATTTTTGTTTATAAGACATTTCAATTGCTAGATTAACCTAGAAGTCCACTTTGTATCCTCGAACATGAGGTGCAGGGCTACCGCCAGAACAGAGCCAAATAACACGTAATTTCACGACCAAAGTTTCACGACCATCGCGGTTTTTTTCACGACCAATCCAGCCTTATGGATTATAGTGTGTTTGGTCGTGACAATAACTTTAATATAATTGTAAATTGAACAGTTAAGTTCAATTGAAACACATAGTTTTATTATAACTAACAGTCTAATTGAAGGATTGTTTAGAAAGATTTTGATTATTCCAGAGAATTCACGACCGTACCGCTTGTCCCTGACCATCACGTTTATGATTTCTATCATAAAAATTTCAAAAATTAAAATATCGTCATATTTCAATGTTTTATACACAAAAGAAGCACACCTCTATACAAACATAACGGTTTTTTGGGTCTCAGGTAAGTTTTTTTGGAGTTATACAAACTTAAAAAGATTTATTGGCTTTTTTCTATTTTTTTATTTTTTTTTATTTTTTTCTAGAAAGACCAAATATACCAAAAGCTCAGTGACCTTTTTATTGTATAATGGTCATAAAAGTAAATTAGTTTATAGCAAAACATAGTTATAAAAATAATATTAACTATTTTTAATATTCATTTAAACGTCCGTTATGGTCGTGACAGGATTTTGTGTTTTTCTACGAAAGATGCTCTTTAAAAAGAAAACTACCAAAGATATTGCGTTACCATGGACATTTTATGAAACTTCAAATGTTAATGAAATAAAAAAAATAATAAAATTTTTGAAAAAAGGGGAAAAAAATTTGCAAAGTGCTTTTCCTGAAAACGTACGTTTTTAAATTTTCACTCAGTGGTAGAATGATGAGATCCGGGGTTTAAGTTCTGCCAACCACCAACCGCTTTAGTTTATGTGATAATGCTAAGCCTCTTAACCTAGCCTTAAGTAATGTGTGAAACGGTTCCGGACTAGAGTCTAGGGTTCTATTCTGAAAAGGAAGGACACACTAAAAATTATTAAATGATTAAAACAATACAAGACTTGCACATTTTTTAAACCAAAGTTGACATATTTCACAAAGAAAATTCTAAAAGGTGTAACAAGTTTTGTGTCTTTGAATTCGTCAGCCCATCCAAAGCTCGGGCGTCCCTGCAGATAAGAATCAGCAGGGGTGTTAGGCCTGTTTCACATATACCCAGCTGTTGGTGTCGTTTAACTGGCATTTGGGTGAAGAAGTATATGGGACTGTTCATATATGCATGACGTGTCGTGGTCGGTTAATTACTTACCCTTCTGCCGTGTATTCTTCGGGGGATACCAGGTGCCCCCTCGAGACTGTTCACATACAACCGGCCACTGTTGTCTGTTGTCCGCCTTAACGAGGTATTTTTACTATTGTTTATTTACTGTAGTGTGTTCAGTTTTAATTATGTCAAAAGTAGATGTTGAAATGCTTATGAGTTTAGTACAATAATACACACTATAGTTAAACATATTAACATATTATAGTTTCAATAGTCATTACAAAATATTAAAATAATCCTTTACTGCCATTTCTTAAGCCATCAAAAGGAATATAAAAAGCCCCAAATTGGTTTCTTTTCATGTTTAAAGGGTGTACCTAGTGCAGTCGATTCTTCCCTCTTCTTATTTTCAACAGTCTATACGAAAGTAAGATTGCAATTGCTTTACCACGTTCCAGTGGCGGATATAGAATAGTTTTTTGAAGGGGCCGAAATTAATTTAAGGTTAGGTTAAGTAATTTAGAGTAGACACACCATGATACTTTATCTCAGTTTTTCTGCGGTAATTTGAGCTAAATGTGTCCTTTACTTTACCAAGATTACACTTTATTATTATATCCTTCCATTAAATTATAAAATATATCTATTCAAGCCAAATGAATAAGATATCTCAATTACTAAATCAGAAAACATTGGTCAAGATTTAACAGTGTGTCATCCAATCTGTAAACACTTATCCGAACCTAAGGAGTCAAATACATGCTTGTGATTATCATATTCGGAGGGATTCTTACCACTGTATATAAGTACTCTTTTGTGCAAACTGCAAAACATTAACATTTCAGTACAAAATATGTCGAACAGATGTAAATAACAATTAGCAAACAATAACAATGGCTACCATTGAACTGACTGAACTCGTCATTACTCCCCTCCCCTGTGGCCGGTAGATATGCTGGTCTCTATCGGTCCCTGCTGCAAGCGAAGATAGCCGGGTGGCGGGTGGGAGCTTGAGTGATTCTGAATCAACCTGAACTTGCACAAACTATCACTGTCTACCATGGCGATGACTTCGCGTATGATTCATGATAAATAATTCATATAATGATACCTATTCTTTCTTAATATCCATCATTTTGGGGGGACCCAGGCTCCTTGCCCCCCCCCCTCCCTTATATTCGCCCCTGCCACGTTCCATTGCTTTGCCATCACTACACACAGCACAAGCTGCAAGTTGCACAAGCAGGAGTAGAACTGCTGGAGTGCCGGTGTTGGCTTAAGTGAACAGTGCACCCGTGCAAGTGCCGACTAGAAATTGGGTTAACGGCATGCTGGGTATATGTGAAACGAGCCTATAAGTTAAATTTAACTGCATAAGAGATAATCAGCAGTTTATACCCTGAAAATGGATATTTTTTACTGTACTTTTATCAGATATGTATTTTTAACATGAAATTTATAACAATGAAATGTCTAATTTTTCAGAATTGTACTGCAATAGCTTTTGTAAAGGATACAAAGGTAAAAAAGTGTGCGGTGTGAGCCCAACAAAAGGTTATACTACTTTCGATAACGAGTGCTACTTGTACTCTGAAAACACCTGCAAATACGGAGGTATGTCTTAGAAATACATATATACAATAAATCGGCATTTACATTTTTAAATTTATTTTCTGTGCCATAAAACCATAATATTTTGTATTATGTTGAAAATAGTTTATTCTTGGCCTTGACACATAAATAACTAATCTCCAATTCCAAGCACTATGAAATAAACTAGGGATGGTCAAGTCTCGAAATTTCGGGAAATTTTAAATCTCGTTACACGAGACGAGATTTCTTTTTGGCCGAGATTTTTATCGAGACGAGAAAAAAAAGTAAAAAAAAAGTCAATGCAATACCCGCAATACAGGAGCGTGTTGTAGTTGCGTTTCCTTTTCGAAGGCGTTCTTTTTTAATTAATTCTTTGAATGTAAATATTACTTTAATTATTTTGATAATATTACTTTAATAACATATGAGAAGTTTTGTTAAGTGTAAGCAGTGTGAGGAATGTTTTATTACTATAAAAAGTTTAAACAAGTAACTATTTTATAAAAATTAATATTGCTTTTATTTTATGATTTATTTTATTTTAGGATAAGTTGAACTCTATCCTAACTGATATCACTATGTTTCCTAATCGTAGGCATTTTTAATAAGTTAGGCGGGATTAATAAAAAAATTTTATGCTGATGTTTTTTAATAAAAGATTGTAAATATTCTTGCCTATTATCATTATTTTTGTATTTAAACAGTCATCTAACAATGTTACAAAATCAGGTAAAAATTTTGAACGTGCATTTCCCGTTATGTATGAGAAGGGAAATCCCGTCTCGATCTCGTCTCGAAATTTTATGAGAAATAAAAAATCTCGTCTCGTCTCGTCTCGAACTAAAAATCCAATCTCGTCCATACCTAAAATAAACATATGTTTGTCATCAACATTTTAAAGTAACAGGTTATAGAAATAATGATAGTTTATTTATATATTTATTCAAGTACAAAATTTAAGTTTTACAATCTCCAATAAGCTGCAAAAGCCTAACAAGGCTTGTCTGCGTTAATAATATACTTTTTTTAATTTTCAGATTATAAATTTGCCCACTTTGGGGAGTGTACAAAAAAAGAGAATGGTAAGTACAATAAAAAAAATTGTATCAGTAAAAAAAAATGTCTTTTAAAATATACAGGTTGTCCCGGAACTTTCTACCAAAATTTTAGAGCATTGTTCCTGAGTAAGAAACATATCTAAATACCATAATTAAATTGTCCGGAAGTCCTTATTTACTCACACAGCCGTCATGTTGTTTGTTCACTTATTAATTTTTTTCTAAAGAATGGTTAAACATACAAAATGGAAACTTCGCACAAACATTTATGACAACTAGACCAAGCCACCAAAAAATTATGAAAAATTTTCAAATTCATAAAACAAAATGGCGGACATTTAAAATTTTGTTTCTTAAATAACTCAAAAACCGTTGATTTTACAAAAACTTTACAACAATAACCTTTTTAAGGCAATTTCATTGTAAGCCGATTGACACCTTATTTTTTAAGTTTGGACGAATATTAACTGAGATATGGCAGCTTTAGTGATATGTGACCGCTTTCAGCATGAGCTGCAACTAACCTCCAGCGGTCAGGTATCACTAAAGATATGTTTCTTACTCAGGAACAATGATCTAAAACTTTTGTAGAGAGTTCCGGGACACCCTGTATAATACCTTTGATTTCTTATATACTGCAGCATCCTGTCTATGAGTTCCTCCTGAGGAAGGTGTCTGCCCCTTGTCATGTTTTAAAGAGTAATTTCCCTCAATCACCCTCTGAATTGCACAGAGATGGTACAGAGAAGAAAGGGAGCGATGGGTGATTGTTCAGCAAGCTTAGAGCTATCAGTCTAAACTGATCCAATATCCTTTCATAAAATTATAATAGGTAATATTATTTTTCCTAAACTTGAAACATCATCTGGAGTTCCAATTTAAGTTCTTTGACAAACCAACTTTCTTTCCCCTTGTTTTGATGTTTGGCATATGGGGATAAGTTTTATCATTTTCCCACAAGCCTCAACTTATGGGAATGGACAAAGTGATGTAAAACATTGTCACTTTTAATAAAAACCTCCAAGTGAAACGGATTTTACTGTGGCAGGTTTGATCTGCTTACCTGATTTCTGCCTGAAGCCTGGAACGAAGGTTTGTGGATACAGCAAGTCCAAGGGCTTCTTCACTTTTCCTAACAGGTGCCAACTGAACAAAGAAAACATCTGTAACGGTAGAGGTGAGCTACAAAATATAACCTACTAAGTGAAAATCTTACTATAAAATCTGTTTACAACTCTGATGTCACCCTGTATATTTTCATATAGTTTTAACTGAAAGTCTCCCAGTACTGTAAATATCCATCTGGTTTATCTGTAATTCACCCTGTAAAATATCCAGCTAGTTTTATCTGTAAGCCACCCTGTAAAATATTCAGCTAGTTTTATCTGTAAGCCACCCTGTAAAATATTCAGCTAGTTTTGACTGAAAGTCACCCATAAAAAATATCCAGCTAGTTTTATCTGTAAGTCACTCTATAAAATATCCAGCTAGTTTTATCTGCAAGTCACCCTGTAAGATATTCAGCGAGTTTTGACTGAAAGTCACCCTGTAAAATATCCAGCTAGTTTTATCTGCAAGTCGCCCTGTAAAATATTCAGTGAGTTTTATCTGCAAGTCACCCTGTAAAATATCCAGTTAGTTTTGATTGAAAGTCAGTTGTGTCCAGGTTTTCAAGATCTTTTGTCATTATGCAGATTTTATTGAAGAAATACCTTAAATTAAATTGGAGGATAAAATGTTCATTTGGTGTACTGTAATAACATCAATATCATAAGTTTAATTTTTTTTTAGTTTTGAATTCTAAATATTTATGACATATTTGCATCAAATTATTGTCTCTTTATGGATAATTTTCAGGCCAGTAAGGAATAATGGAAACTTAAAATTGATAAAATTGATATTATCACCTCATATTATTTTGTCAAAACTCTTTAAGTAAAAATCTACCACTATTTATTTTTGTGTTTAAGGCTGAATCATTTCTACCTCTTAAAAATTAAAACTTTATTAGCCATGGTCTTTTGGTATGAAATATTGATGTAATTTCCACAATAGATGCATTTTGATACATTTTGACAGATTGATAAAACAAAATCGAAATTATTCAGCATCATTTTGTTGTTTTTTTTTCAGACTACATAGTAAAGCATGAAGGGGAGTGTTCAGCTAGTGAAAGTAAGTACAATAATTAAATATCATTTAATTGGTTAGCATATTTATATTACCAAACAAATCAGCTATTTATTTGATTGAAAATGTAAACTTACCTTGGTATATTATGTAACAGGACTTAAAACAAATTTTAACAGCAGTGAACATTGTTTGCTATAATTAAATAACACTTGCTGTATTTGATACAAACTTATAAAAAAATGTTTTATATGGACACTGTTTTAAAGACAACGATGATAAAGCTTACCCCTTAAAGTAAAAACAAAAAAAACCGACTAATAGTTTTTTTGACTTTATAGGCTAAGGCAAAAATAGACTTTATAGGGTCAGTAGTCCAAAATTTTGGAGGTAAGCCTATAAAGTCATTATCCGTAGTCCAGGGGCTATCAGAATGAATAATATAATAGTTTTTTTTATTAAGTTGTTTCATTGCCGTGTGTTAAAAAGGTGAATTATAAACACAGTACGGTATATATATTAATTAATTTAGGAAATAATATTTATAACATGAACTACAAGCTAATCTTTTTGAGTTCTCTCTACAAAGGTTGTATGTAAAATATTGAATCCATTGTGCCCGTGTTGTGACTGAGTCAGTCAGCTCAAATCTGAAGCCAGCATTGTGTTCAACTAATCTATTTATTTATTGGTATACGGCAAACACCATTTTACATTTCACATTGCAATTATATACAGATGGCCAAAAAAAGATGACGTAATAATACATGCGTGTGACCATTACAGCTATCTACTACCTACACTTAATTAACAAAACAAAGTTGAGAAAATAAATATATGATAAATATCACAGGAAGTGGCAATAAGACTAGTTAACATGCAGGAACAATAATACAATAAATATTAACGAAGTAGAGACTAACAATATAGTCCAGCATCTATAGGGGGTTGAGTATGCACTGAAAGTGTAACTCTTTTTGACTTTTGATTGTTGTTGGGGGCATCTTGGAGATGACAAAAACCGATGTTGTCGCCCTCCCAGCAGGTGCACAACTTGGGGGGGAGGGGGGAAGGTGCTCCGAGATGCGTTCTAGAAAATCGCTTATATCTCGTAAACTATACACGATAGAAACAAGCTCTAAACGGCATTGTATTACCAACTTCATCTGTTTTAAATAAGTATCCAGGAAAAGTCCCGTATCTATGATATTAGTTGAGTTATTTAACAATTTCTTTAAGAATTTGAATAAAAACCCCTAAATAACGTTAAACTATCCATTAAAACCCCTTTCAAACAACAAACAGTACAGTTTTTCTTCGTACATAATATGTTTAACACGCTAAAGTGACTTTATATGGTAATTATATAGAAATATTACAAGGTTATGCGAGGTTTCCGATGAAGCGGCACAGTGATGCGGGTGACGCCGCTGCGCGGCAGAAATCAACGTGTAGTACAGACTTGTAAAAATTGGGTATGTACCGAAAGTGTAACGCATTTTGACTTTTGATTGTTGTTGGGGCACCTTGGAGATGACAAAAACCAATGTTGTCGCCATTCCAGCAGGTGCACAACTTGGTGGGAGGAGGTGGAAGTAGCGCTGAGGCGCGTTCTAGGACATCGCTCATATCTCGTGAACTAGACACGATCGAAACATGTTTTAAACGGCATTGTATTACAAACCGCATCTGCTTTAAATATTTTACAATGAAAATTATGTGTACTGTACTTTCCTTAAAACAATATGTACAAAGTTCTCGAGTTAGCGATAAAATAATTATAAGCTGTTTTTAACACTAGGCTATTTTAAATATAAAATTTAAACAAAAATCTAGGTACAACTACCAAAGAAAATGCTTCAGTTTGAAATGTATACGGTTTTATTAAAAGAATATTAAAATAGACTTGGAAATGCTGTACTTCATTTTAATACTTAACTACCATATAAACTACACATAAGAAAACAATGGATACTATTTCAGTCATCTTGTTTGAAACGGTCTTAATGATAAGGATTTCTAAAATTTTTAAAACATTTGCAGTAGGAGCAGCAGGATTAAGAAGAAAAGAAAGCACCTGCAATGACAGCCGCTATATAGAAATCACAACTAATCCATCTGCCGTCAAGGACATTAGTAAAATGCCTTGCACACCGGCCAGCTTCAAATTACACCTGTTACGGTGTAGTGCCCAACTATATTTTTGAGAAAAGTCCTTGACAGCAGAAATAGAGCCTTTAGATCTATTCCAGTACCGATTTTTCAAAGACAGCTCAGGAAAAATGCGCCCCCTTCTTATGACCCTGCCCCCGGCTCCTACAAATTTGCTAAAGTCATGTAAATGCAAGATTTGTTCTAGATCAACTTGTGGCTGCTTTTCAAACAAGTCATCCTGCTGCTCCTACTGCAAATGTTTTAAAAATTGTAGAAATCCTCATCATTAAGACTGTTTCAAACAAGATGACCGAAATAGGTAATATCTATTCTTTTCATATGTGTTGTTTATATGGTAATTAAGTTTTAAAATGAAGTACAACATTTCCAAGTTTATTTTAATATTCTTTTAATAAAAACCGGATACATTTCAAACTGAAGCATTTTCTTTGGTAGTTGTACCTAGATTTTTGTTTAAATTTTATATTTAAAATAGCCTAGTGTTAAAAACAGCTTATAATTATTTTTTTTGCTAACTCAAGAACTCCGTACATATTATTTTAAGGAATGTACAGTACACTTAATTTTTTGTAATTCGTGTGTTGAACATAGAATGCACTCCAAACACAGTGCTATTCATTGTTTTATGAGAGTTATCTAGGTAGATAAACGGTATTTTGACTTTAAATTGTTCATTTCTAATAAAATGTCAAATAACTCAATTATTATCATTGATATGGAATTTTTCATTGTAAAATATTTAAAGCAGATGCGGTTTGTAATACAATGCCGTTAAAAACATGTTTCTATCGTGTCTAGTTCACGAGATATGAGCGATGTCCTAGAACGCGCCTCAGCGCTACTTCCACCTCCTCCCACCAAGTTGTGCACCTGCTGGAATGGCGACAACATTGGTTTTTGTCATCTCCAAGGTGCCCCCAACAACAATCAAAAGTCAAAATGCGTTACACTTTCGGTACATACCCAATTTTTACAAGTCTGTACTACACGTTGATTTCTGCCGCGCAGCGGCGTCACCCGCGTCACCGTGCCGCTTCATCGGAAACCTCGCATAACCTTGTAATATTTCGATATAATTACCATATAAAGTCTTTAGCGTGTTAAAAATATTATGGACGAAAAGAAGAAAAGATATTGTTGTTTTAAAGGGGTTTTAATGGATAGTTTAACGTTATTTAGGGGTTTGTATTCAAATTTTTAAATAAATTGTTAAATAACTCAACTAATATCATAGATACGGGACTTTTCCTGGATACTTTTTTAAAGTAGATGAAGTTGGTAATACAATGCCGTTTAGAGCTTGTTTCTATCGTGTATAGTTTACGAGATATAAGCGATTTTCTAGAACGCATCTCGGAGCACCTCCCCCCCTCCCCCCCAAGTTGTGCACCTGCTGGGAGGGCGACAACATCGGTTTTTGTCATCTCCAAGATGCCCCCAACAACAATCAAAAGTCAAAAAGAGTTACACTTTCAGTGCATACTCAACCCCCTATAGATGCTGGACTAATAAGCAAACCCAAAATTATGAAACACTTCAAAATAAATACATAGTATGGAGGCAAAAACAGCAAGTTTACAGAAGAGAACAATGTGCAAAAGGTACGGTAAACTCTGAAGAAAATAAAAAAAAAAACTTAACAATAAAGGTAACAACAAGATAGACCATAAATCTATCTATATATTAATAGGCAAGCATGTTTCTTTAAAACCTTTTTTCTCAGCTCGTGTGCATCGCAGGGAAAATCTACACATACCGTTAGAAAGATATCTTCCTGTAGAAGTGCAGAATCCCTTTAAAAATTAAAATAGGCTCAAATATAAGCACAAAAAATGAATTTGAATTTTTTTAAATTTAACATGGGCTTTATGGGTTGCCATGATGGTGACGAAATAACAACGAAATATAAACAGAAAATCTAAACAAATGGAAGAAATTTCAATCACATGTTTTATTTACAGGGGGGGGGAATAGAGAAGCCTGAAGAAGAGAAGCTACATTACATTCCCATGTTAAAGTTGTCACCAGTTTTTTTTTTCATTAAATTCGTCGTAGTTCATGTGAGCCACCAACAGACTGCGCTGATCTAAGTGACTTAAATTTCTATCGAATACACGATGTTTTTTACCAAGTCAAACTGTTTGAATTAGCTATAGCAACTGTTATGACCCATCAACTTTGTCAGCAACAAAAAAATGTAGAAAATAGAATTAAAGAAACGCTTTCGGTGAATGGCTCACACAACTATATGTGTAAAAAAAATGGCGACAGTTGGTCCATATAGATGGAAAGTCTACTTCAGTATCCAATAGTCAATACGTGTATGTTACATGTTTTTGGTCGAATTTTCGACCACTGGACGACCTCTAGTATTAATAAATATGAAAAAGTAATGCACAGAAGTGAGGGGAGTGGATGGCCCCAACACTAAGTCATTGTGTTGTCACAACACACAGTCCAAACACTAAGTCCAAATCAACAATAATTGTGGGGTTAATGTTGTGTAGGAGTGGACATAGAATATTAATGGATGGAGTAAAGAGCATAACGCTGGTTCAGATTTGAGCTAGCTTGCTTGGTGGCAATGGAGACAACCCTCGTAAATTTGAAATCTAAGAAACTGAAATTGTTTGTAAAATGTGCTGATTGTGTTGGGTGTGTTGGAGCTTAGTTGGAGGCAAATGTCCGGTACTATGTACCCTGCAGTACAGCCCAGTCTGTGGGTACAGTTCTACGTTCAGCTACAAGACTTTCTCCAACACTTGCATTCTTGGGGTGGAGAACAACTGCAAAGGAGGAGGTAAACTGCTCTAGCAAGTATAGGACGGATACGCTTTTGCACAATCAATTTAAAAACTAATGAATGTTCATTTACAATTTTACTTTTAGTTTTAAAATGTTACATGATCAAAAACCGCAAATCAAGAATTTTATTGTCCTTGACCTTTCTATGTAAAAATGAATAGACATAGTTAAAACAAATACAAAACTTTCCAAAATGATAAATAAAATACAAAGTTTACAAAGTACTTAGTTAACTGAAATATAAAAAGTCTAGAGAATATGGATCATGTACACATCAAAATTAAATATTAACATATTTGTTTGAGATTATATATTAACATATTTGTTTTAGAATTCAATTTTTAAATTTTTTTTACAAATTCATGGATGCCATAGAAAGGATTGCTAATCAACAACCCACATCATTTAGATTTGAATATCTTGAAGGATACAGTTCTGGCTGAATAAGGCAATTTATAAAAGAAAATGTATGTGTTAAGTCTATGACTATTACTACTCTTTTGATGTCTATGAGCCGGGATGTCTAAAGGAAGTTTACTACTTGTATTATGATCTTATATCATCATAATACAATAATACATCTTGTCTTACATCAAATTCATGTAGCTGCAAATTCAACAACATACAATAATATTATTGTATATAGAATTTTTGTATACTGCATGATTTGATAAATATATAGATTAATTATTGTCAAAATTCTAAACCTGATGAAAAGTGTTCTACAAAGATCCACTCCACAGAACCCGCTCCACAAATGGTCCGAATAACTTTTTCCTGTAAAATATGATGAGATAGCAAAACGCTTATAAACAACCGCAGATATTTTCTTCAAAAGAAAACTATTATCTTGTGCCAGGGGTCAAGTTAATTTATAATGCATAATTATTAGCTGTCTATTAGCAGTTTATACCTGTTTATATCTTTACACAATATTAATTTGTAACTACAATCTGTTAAAAACCGAAAAATTCCACTTTGACTTTAAAGTAACATTACATTAAGTCCAAGTTAAAATTAAACAGTATTGTATTTTCAATTATAATTTTATTGCCTGAATTGCAATTTCATTACATTTTGTGTTTTAGATTACAAGCTGAATCATCAGGGGGAGTGTACCAAGAAAGAGTTAGGTAAGATATGTTACTACTTCCTTATTCAAGCAATCTAATCAAAAACTTTTATCATAAACTAGAAAACAATTTATGGAAAATATCTCAATATTGTATAGGATATTAATACAGCATTATCTTAACTGTCCCTGCACTTTGAATATTAGCAAGCTTATATGTAACCTTACCTCTTATTCCTATTTCCAGAGAAAAACTGCCAACTCCAATGCACATATGATTATCGGCCCATTTGTGCCAAGAGCCCCACCAAAGGGTATAAAACATTCTCCAACAAGTGCCATTTCATATATGACGTCTCATGCTACGGATCAGGTTTGTGGTTATAAATACCGTAATGCTTCATATAATATTTCTTTAGTAATTAGTCTGGTATTGTAGTTGTTTGTTGCTTTTTAAATTTAAATTGAATTTACAATTTATGAAAGTGCAATGATTTCAAACAATGATTTAGATTATTTAAAAAAGCAATGGAAATTTATTGTACACTTGACTGAAAGGACATGGTAACTACTTTCAACCTGTTTTAAGCTGACTGATAGATATTTGTCAATAGTGCCACATCCTACCGCATTCTGTTTAGTAAAAAAAATCAAAAAACTGTTTAAAGTTAAAAATATAATAATGGGTTTGGAAGGTTTTTGTAAACTACCTGTTTAAGTAGTACCTATTGAAAATATACAGGTTCATGTTATTTCAAGATATTTTAAAATAAACTATTATTATTGCTTGATATCAAATTAATAAAAGTTCAGAATAAACATTATTACATGGTGTTTATTCGTATTGTCAGGTTGCTACTGCAACACTGTGTTTTCATGAACTTTTCTTAGATTGCAGGGTTAAATGCTACATCACCTCATAGTCTTGTTTACATTGGAATCTTATATTGTGTTTATTCGATTTTAACTACAATTATTTTGCAACATGATTGAGACAAGACTTATTTCTATTTGCAGATTACAAATATGAGTATGGTGGTGTATGCAAAAAGCACGAAGGTAAGTTTAATTTTTACTATGCTTACTGTATCTAAATAGAAAGCTTGTGCCCAACCTTATTGCTCATCATTTGTGGTTATAATATCATAAATGAGTCAATAGTTATCCTTATAATTATTTGAATTCTTAACTTCAAGGCAAAAGACCTGTTAGAATTTTAAAATTCTATTAAGCACTTCAAGAGTGGTTGAGATGGTTACGGCTTGAAACGAATAATTCAATGATAAAAATAACAAAATGTCAAACATTACAGAACAAAATGTTGTATCCCTTAATTTACGGGTGACCAGTTTCTGATTACCAGGCAAACATGTTTATTCGCTTAGCTATCCAGTTAGTGTAACATATTTGTGGCTGTTTTCTAATTTTATACATATCAAAGCTTTCAAATAGTTGTGACTATTACAGTGTTGCCAGTGCCACCTAAATGGGACCAAGGGGACTGCAAAAAGGGGGCCATATGTACAAAAGAATACAAACCGGTTTGTGGATACATCAAAAGTGACAGAATGTTCAAGACATTCTCCAACAAATGTCTCTTCAATGCTGAAAAATGCAAATATAACGAAGGTCAGTGTCAGTGTCTAGAACTAAGAGTTAATACCAGTTCTCAAAAACTGATGAGGTTATAGGAGGATCTCGTCTTACCTCTCATTAGGATCTAGACTAGTGCAGATAGTACAAGGAAAAATGCTGTTATGGGATTATCATTCCAGTTGATTTAAAATCTTTTGGTTAGAAGTTTCTAATGTGATCTGATTCCAAATCACCTTGGATTCTCCTTGACTGGTGGCTAATTCCCTCATGTACTGTACAGGCAAGGCCAGGGATCAGAGGAAAGTAGAATGCTGTGACCAAAATTTTAAAAAGCTTTGTGGCAATGAATCTGTAGGAGTCACTCTGTTGGATTTCAACAAGGCTTTTAACCAAATTTCTCATGGCGTTCTTTTAAATGAGCTTTAATATTATAGAATAATAACGAACAGTTAGTTTTTTTTTTAACATATATTTGTGGTAGGTTTGTGTTTGTTAGAAAATGGTTTGAAAGTGGAAAACTATCCTGAATCTAAATACCCCCTAAGAAAACTTTCCAACAACTATGATCCTCAGGAAAAACTGTATTGCCAGCAAGTGAAAAACATTGCTACCCATTTTTAAAAGACATTCTATTACCTGATTTACCTGGTTCCCAAATGTTATAAGGCTACACTAAACGTTTTGGATTAAAGTATTTATAAGTCCCTGGATAACATTTATTTTTTTCTTCTACCTTTTATAGGGAAAGCCCCTCCCCACTACTCCTCCTTCAAACTGTGATAATGTGACAACATTCAATCTCTACAGTATTGTCTTGTGTCTGAACGAAGCTTTCTCATATCTCAGAAGGATATGAGCTTATGACATAAATGTACCAATCTACTCCAACTTCACATCATTTTATTATTACTTTTGCTATCAAATAGTGTTAAATGTTTGTAAGTTGTATGATAGTTGACCAATAACCATGGAATCAAGTTCTTACATACTTGTTAGTTTTTAGAATGTTATGTCAGCAGCTATCCTAATATGCTTTGCAATTAAATAATAATATGATTGGTCTAATGTGTCTAATTATGCAGACAATTGAAGGTTCATGTTCAAAATACCTATTATCTCACATACCCTCATTTTTTTGTCTAGGTTTATATCTTTAATCCAGTTTAGGTTAAAAATTTATAGAGATTTATTTTTAATTTTAGAGGTTAAAGACGTTGGCGCTCTCTTTAAACCTTGCATTTGCCCGTCGTGGAACGTATTCAGCAAAGCAAGGGGTGGGTCGATACAGTACAAGGGTGAACTGCACTGATACAAAGTAGTGGCAGGTACCAAGATCCGAACCCATGACTTCGCTGCCTTGGGCCCAAAGTCAATGGCACTACCAACTGAGCCACCGACTTATCTTAATTAATTGATGTTAATCAATGTATGTCAATGTTAGTCTAATAATATTTTATTTGCTTTCAGATCTAATATTTGCTCACGAAGGAGAGTGTTCTAAGGGTGAACTAGGTAAATATTTACTTATTTGCAATAGGTACTAAGAAGATAAAAATATTTATTGCATAGGCTGTTGATTGTGGCACAATTTTAGAGAGTGAGCATTGAGTGTTATTAATACTAGCGCAATGTAAAAATATGTGTGCTAATATCCGTTGTAACTATTACACCTTTATATTCTTCAAAACAATCAGAGCTCTTTCGGATATTATGTTTTACATTAATGGCTATTTACCGATCCACATTTTAAGGGTTGCGGGTAGCTGATGTGTGAGTGACGATTTGTTTTAGAAAATGACTGCAAACGCAAAATTTCTGAGGAAATTTCTCCAGTGTGTGGTCGTAGCCCCACTCTTGGCTACAAGACTTTCAAAAACATCTACCTGCTGCTGCTGAGTCTAAGTTGTTACAGATCAGGTGGGCTTGCATGGAAATTATGTTTGTTAATATTTTGTTATATACTAAGTGAGAGACTTTTGTAAGTTATCTATGTTTCTATACTGTGAGAGCAGCAATGGTTACTGCTAAATAGGAAGTGTCTGAAGAAAACAGTAAGCTTTATTAGCATCCTCCGGGCCTTTAGTGGGCACTTAGAGAATAGAATTTCAGTTGAGAGTTTCTTTTGTAGGAATTGCTTTTAGGAGTAAGAAACAGCCTTCCGTATATTGTTTGAATGTCCACCTTTGTTGGGTATTCGCATGACAGTTACCATTGATCAAGGTATAAGGTAAGAGAATGATCATTCAGAAAATCTCAAGGTTCACAAAGGGTCTGAGATTTGATGAGCTTGAAGTAAGTGTCCCCGTCAAGGCACAATAATAAACTAGATGTAACTGAATGAAAAAAGCCCGACCCTCAATAGCAAAATCCAATAGGTCTCTCAATAATCAAACACTTATGGGCACAAGTGTAAATTATTATTTGTAGGCATCATTTTACAAATGAGCAACCCTAGAAAACAGCTTACACAAATTTATAAACTTTACAAAAGAGTATATTAATTCCAAGCATTAAACTTAATAATTATTTGTTACCTATTTTCATTTTCAGATTATTATTTTGCTTATGAAGGAAAGTGCCAACCATCTCACCGTAAGTAGATTACATTTAAATCCGTACAGTATTGTTTTAAAATACATATATGAACTTTTAGCTTTTGTTAAGGCTAACCCTATGAAGGTTAAATGCAACAAGTTTAAATCATCTAAATATCTCAGGGGTACATTAATTTTGACACTAAAATACAATAGGTACCAAATACAAAACCACTTATCGACTGAAAACATAGGAAGTGAAATGAATGTTTTCAACTTGGATACTGCAGAAACTTACCAGAGCATAATTCCAAAACTTCTGACGAGAACCAACTGTATATACAGAAGGATACCATTTCAATTCCCTCAGTCTTCAATTGTGCTCAGTTCAAATGCCTGGTGTGACTGGTCAAAATAAATTGCTGTTGTAACATCTTGTATTTTGGGGGTAAAAGCTTTGACTATTAATACAACAACTAGACATTCCATCCCCATGTTAAAGTTGTAGCTAGGTTTTTAATAAAATTTGTCTTAGTTGATGTGAGCCACCTACAGATTGCGCTGATATAAATTACTGATTTATGCCGATTACATTATGGTTTTTACCAAGTCAAACTGATGGAATGACTTAATTATGAGCTATAGCAACTGTTGTGACCCAGCAACTATGTCAGTAACAAATAATAAGGTACAAAATAGAGTTTTAGTCACTAGCGCAATCTGTGACTGGCTCACACAACTACATTCTTTTTTAGTAAAAAATTGGCGACAGCTGATCCATATAGATGGGATGACTTCTTCTGTATCTAATAGTCATTGGTAAAAGTGTGGATGTATATGTATCAAAAAGTGTTGTAATGTAAGACATATTTGATTTGATTATATTCATACTATAGTAGAGTTTAACAACGGCAAACTTATCTCTTTGTTTGGTTTTCATCTTTCCAGTTCCTCCTATATGCACGGAACTCTGTGTAAAAAAATATGACCCATACTGTGGCTACAGCCCTTCCACAAAGGAATTCAGTACTTTTGACAATAAATGCTGGTATGATAAAGAAGTCCAGTGTGCTTATGGTGGTAAGTTATTTTAGTAATATATTCTTATCAATTGTCTGCATTATCAACAACCAAATAGAAAGTAAATTAAAGTAGTATATTGCTAATTCTTTAGACTCTATAACCCTCACAATCTTTTTTGAGCTCTATTAAAGTATGCAAAACAAATTAAAAGTTCTGAGGGTGGGTCATAATTTAAATTTATTGGTTCAACATAACCGACATATTTTACAACAATTCTTCAATTTTGGATGATAAACATCACTGCTGTGGATGTCATATCCCTCTGTTTGGTTTATCTTCATATTGGCATACAGGCATAACTGTGTTGTACGATTTGTGTTTGGTTCTCACCTTACACAAAAATGCCCTTCCAAAACCACAAATAATGCTATTCAGTATGTATATGCAATAAAAGAAGCAGTGTAGGTGGCTTAAAACCTTTTGCCAGCAAGACTATCAACACAAAATTATGAATCACCAAGCTGCTGTTCCCATTTCTAAATATGTATATTTATAAAAAAAATTTAATACAGTATATGCAAAAGTATATATGTAAGTTATTATTTTTATACAAATAGTTACACTAGTTTCAAACTAGTAATACATCCTTTATCACTACTAGGCTACATAAGCAATTCAGCAATAAATAAACTATTTACATTTATTGGACACATTCAGTTTGTGATCCTTTAAAATGATTTTTAAATTTAAATTCCTGATTTCAAAACTGGAAACCATTTGAGGGTACAGGGGCATCTTTTTTTTCTTAGCCAGTAGCATTTTAATTTTAGTTAAAGTTATAATAAATGCTTTTAAGCGATATCGGTTCAAATCCGTTCTCTTGGGTCTAAATTATCTAAAATATTGGATTTCCAATAAACCTAAGCCCTTTTGTAATACAAGCTGTATTTTATCCAAATTTTTCAGACCATATCTTGGCACATAAAGGAGCCTGTACAAAGCCAGAGATTGGTAAGTAAAGTTGCAAAAGTCTCTATATATAAATTAAATTTTAGGATAAAATGTTAATTTTTTTATCCAAATGATCTATCTCATTTCCAACTGACACTATACAGGGTGTTCAAAAAAGGTGGGGACATACAGGGCCTGATTAAGAGTCTAGTCGCCAGTAGGCTGATGTTTTTCGCGCCCCCCTCCTCCCTACCACTACCACTCCTCTCTGCCACCACTTTCAAAATTTCTAAGTATGAATACTAATACTGAATTCAAAAATTAAAAATGGCCAAAGGCATTATACTGCTATTCAGTTTATTTAAAAACAAAAGAAAACTGATCATTAATTATTGCATGGTTTGATTAGGAACTTTTAAAATAGTAACAAATCGGTTGTTCAAGGAATATAAAACTTTTTGTTTTAAAATAATGTATTTATTTTAAATTTTATTAAACATATGATTGTATTAAATCAAAAGTAGACCTAACCTAAAATATCAAAAAACAAAAAACCAAACAATAATATACTACTTTCTAAATTAACTCTGTTAATCACCTAGGCCTAATACAATTTTATTAGGGCCTTTAGATAGAATTACTTAGTTTTACAGCATTTATCTATATTTATCTGCAACAAAAAGTATCGTAAAATGTTTTTACATTCAATTATTATACTATAAATACAATGATTATGAAAATCTGCTGAACCACCCTTCCCCCGCCTCATTCCCTATCTGCGCGAATCCTTTTTTTGGAATAAAACATTTTTCACACCCCCGGTCCCAACTTAGCTGTCTGGCGCCCCCCCTAAAACACTTGGCTGACTGGCGCCCTAGGCTCCAGCCTAATTAGCCTAATGGGTAATCAGGCCCTGCAATTTACGTAGTCATTCCTTGGGTCAAAATAAAGAGAAAATCGAGAAAAACATTTTTACTAAAACCGCTTCGTTAACCAGATATCCTCCATTTTGTATTTTTTATGTAAACATTTTTATCTTTGAATTTATTTCAACCGATCTTTATGAAACTTGGTATGTAGGCTATGTTAAGATAGAAGAGACCCATGTTAGAAAAAAAATCATCTTGATTCGACTTAAAATTTCAAAATTGTTATTTATATAAATTTACAAAAGCATTGTTCTGGGCTAATATTGAGCATAATAATTGATACCTAACAAATCCGAGATTGCCACAGTGTGTTAGACATATTTGTAGCAAAGAGTGTAACAGTGTGTAACTGAATGCCAAGAAGACAAAGGGTTCTAATCATTCTAATTTGTAATCTTCCAAAATGTGTGTTAATTATTATTATTCGTGGTATTTTTTACATTAATTATACAAAAGGACTACGAGGTAGTAAATTGCCCTTAATAAACAAGTATTTTTATTTTATTTAATATCTTTTCCTATTTTTTATTGGACCATTGATATCAAAAATTATATCTCAATTAGACGGATAAACCAAAAACTCAAAAAACATTTTGGATAAAGTTTTGATAAATAATGCTTTATCGATTGAAGGTTGAATTATCTCATGATTTTTAGCTAAAACTGTACATAAAGGTAACTGTATATAAAGTTAGTGATTAAACCCAAAAACCTCATTTTAATATGGATACTAAGAGGTACTAAGATATACTAAAAGATATTAAGTTCAGAAAAAAGTTCATTCTGAGTTGAGAAATAAAATATAGGTCACAAATATTAGTAAAAATCACTAAAAGATAATGAATGATTTGATATTGTTAAAAAGCATCAAAGAAGTTGATTTTACCAATCTTAGAAGGAAACAATTGAAAAAATTACCAAAATATCATAAATTTACCATCACCAAGAATGTTTGTTTTAACAAAGTACGAAAAAAGTCAATATCTGTATGTTTAGAAAACGACTGCTATAGAGTGTGTTCGTCAATATATGACCCAGTTTGTGCATACAGCTCATCTAGAGGATATAAGACATACGAAAATGTTTGCTCCTTCATACGAGACCTAACCTGCAAAGGCTGTGGTAAGTATTATTATTTTTCACTTGTTCTCTGTCTAGTAATCCTTAGGCTAAGGCTTACCTTCGTCAGTAGTCCAAATTGCGTCAAACTTCAATTACTCAAAGCTTACATGTTTCGTTGCAATGTAACCAAATAAAGATAAAATTTAAGATATGAAATAAAGAACATCCCATGAAATAAAGATATATAACATGCTAAAAGCATCTTCGGAACTTGTAAAACGTCAAAAACATCAAAATTTACACATGAAAAAGTAAAAGTACAAATTTTGTAGTTTATGGGTATAAAAAACTACTTTTTAGTATGTGGCTGATTTTTTACCTCCTCTGGGGGACGGCCCGTCAGGAGTCGGTGAAAAATCTTAAATGTAAGCATGGGTTGTTATGCATATCATTTTAAAGGTTTGAGACAAACACAACAACATAATACAAATGAGAAATGGATGATCCTGAAAAAAGTTATGGCTGTTCAAAGTTTTGATATGCTGGATGTTAAATGAGCCTTATACTAAGTTTAATTTATTTTTACATGTTCCTTGTATTACAGATATTTTAAAAGAGGAAGGCAGGGGCGTATATAAGGGGGGGGCCCTCCGAAATAATGGATATGAAGATAAAATAGGTACCATAATATAAATTATTATTTATCATGAATCATGCGCGAATTCATCGCCGTGGCAGACAGTGATACTTTGTGTGAGTTCGGGTTGCGTCAGACACAAGCGTCTACAAACTGACTGATCACTTATTGCAAATGCAAAAAAAAACTGGCCACTGAAAAAGAAGAACCTTCCTGGTTGGATGACTGCAGCCTGTCGTCTGCTACATCATATCATAAAGAGACGGAATCTCAATAACCTCAAATATCATGTATGCCTTTAAAGAGGGATAATTCTAAGGGAGAGGATTTTATAGGAAAATGGTTTTGGAGTTGAGATATTCTTCTCGGTCAGGGGTCCATCACGCCTAACTTAACTTTCGGGTTTATTAATTTGTGGCTGAACATCAAACCAAACTGAACATTCAGGGAAAACGTTTATTAATTATTCAGTAAATTGATGATAGGTTCCACCCTACCTTCCTAGATTGTATGTTATTTGCAAAAGACTATAAAAAATTAAAATATAACAGTAAAAAGTCAACAAAATAGTTTTTCATTGAATTATTACCCAAATGACTATCATGGTCATGTTTCATGACTTCTTTTTGAGATAGACAGTCAAGTTGTGCTTGTAACTGTTCACAGCAGTGGTAAACCACACTGTTCACAGCAGAAACCAAAGTCCTTTCGATCCTTTTTTCATTTCCTACCAGATACATCATTAATACAATTAATATAATTTACTACAAGAAATTCAGAACTTCTTTTTAAAACCATTTCAATAACAAAATAGTAAAGAAAGCTAAGCTAGGTATAACCAAACAGCTAAATGAACTGAAACGAAGCAGGACCCGAAACAGGAGCGGGAGAGCTAAACAAAACAGACGACAGATCGCATAGTCACCCAGACAAACTAGTTCTTCTTTATCAGTGATGGCCAATTTTTTTGTTTGCAATAAGTGATAAATCAGGCTGTAGACGCTTGTGTTTCAGACCAACTCGAGCTCCCGCCCGCCGCCCGGCTATCTTCGCTTGCAACAGTTAACAGTTGCAACATAGTTGAGGTAGATGTTATGGTAATTAATTTAATAAGAGGTTAACTTATTCTATGATATAAATGTTTGTTTCAGATTATGTCTTTGTTCATAAAGGGAAATGCAGATATCCTGAAGGTAATATATGTTTTTCTTTTCTTTTGTTATTGTTTTATCACCTAAATTGTAGGCTAAATTAAACTTAAACTTAACATAAAAACCTAATATAATTTCATCTGGTTCCTGGTTTATCAAAGGTGTCCAAGAAAAAAAAAAATGTTGTTCATGAATTGCCATCCTTTGCTTGCCTATTTGGCTCAGTTTGTTACCTCTTAGTTCAACAAACACTATACAAGATGCTAAAACACAAACAGTAAGATTTATTCCTGTTAGTTATTATCAATGTTTGTGAACTATTCTGGAAACACCCGTTTGTTGTTTAAAGCTTTAGAAAATATTGTTTTTCCTGATCCTCCATTTGTTGGTCAGGTCCTCAGGAAGGTTGCCCATTAGCCTGCTCTCAGGAAGAAAACCCAGTTTGTGCCTTTAGCAGTAGCACCAAGAGCTACAAAACCTTCCTCAACCAGGATCGACTAAAGGCTGAAAATAAGTGCTATTATGGAGGTAACTTAGATTTAGAGGGCATCTAACCCAAAGTATCCTGAAATAATTATTTTAGCTGATAGTGCAAGTAAATACTATACAGTATCTCAATAAAATCTGTAGCTACATCCCTCCCGAAGAAATACGCGATTGTGAACTTAAATAAAGAAATTGAGGGTAAAACATAATTATGAATATAACTGTATATTTAACAACTTATCATCGTAAAGGATAAAAACCCAAGTTACTATGTATTTTTTTTTTCTCTATGTGTAGGTAAATTTTCCAGTTAAGATTTCTCTGATAATTTCCTTCAATATTAAAGCCGACTTCAATATGTCAGCTTCTCAGAGAGAGGGGGAAGCATGCAAACGGAGTGAACGTGTGTTAGATCGGCTCTTCAATTTTAATTGTTTAAACGGGCTTTTTGTTATATTTCTGAAGCTTTAAGTTGCATGAAGTAGTTATGGACTGTTATTGAACATTTGTGATAAGTGATTTGCTACAATTAGTTATTTTATGCCCGGCATTTGTGATTTTCAATACTGTTAAATCCAAGTGAATAGTACAGGTTATAACATTGGTTAGGAGCCGGTCGGAGTCACGTGACTGGTCAGCTGTCCCTGTGACTCATGCCTGTCATCACCCGTAGTGCCAGTACATCTACACCTACAGCAGACGACAACGACACAGCAGACGACGCAGCAGACAACATGAGTTTGACAACTGATCAGAAGCTTGATTTAATTCTTAAGGAAGTATCTGACATTAAGAATCACAACACTCAGTTTAGTTCTGATATATCTGAGATGAAATGCAAAATAGAACAGTTTCAGAAAGATATAGGTGAAACTGTCGATATGTGTTTTTTGAAACTGGAAGACACTAACAAGGAAGTTAAGGTTAACAAAGAAACCCTATTGCTACATGAGACACGTACAGATGCAATGTCTAGTGAATTGGAGATAGTGAAGAAGCAGTTGGCTGAACTACAACAAACTGTTGCTGTGAATAATCAATACTCTCGCAGTAATTGTTTAGAGATTTACGGAGTACCTGAGGTGAAGAATGAAGATGTGATGGAGGTGGTCAAGCGTGTGGCGAAGGTGATGAACTTTGAGCTAAAGGATGGAATGATTGATGCTGTGCATCGTTTGGCCATGAACCCGAAAAAACCGGAGGCGCACCGTGGGATAATCATCAAGTTCTGTCGTCGCATTGACATGGAGTCCTTACGAAGCAAAACGAGGGTGAAGAATGGGTTCTCAGCGGCGGAGTTAGGCATGATCAGCGAGAGCAAGATTTTCATTAATCTGTCCTTGTCGCCATTCACCAAGTACCTGTGGGGAGAAGTTCGCGCCTTTAAGAAAGACAATGGTTACAAGTATGCATGGATTACCAGTGCCGGTAAGGTGTTTCTGCGGAAGACTGATGGATCTCGTCCCATTCACATCTGTGGGAAAAGTGACTTGGACAAGCTCAAGTGATCTGCCAGAACCTTATGTGAGTCATAATTACTCTTTTCGCACACAAATGAAATATTTATTTGATATTTTAGTATTTATTTATTTGTATATTCCATGTGTTTATTAATAGGCCTAGGCTGTGATGCATGTTAATTCATTTAGGATAGTATTTATTTCTGTTGATTTTTATTTATATATATTCTATTTAAATATTTATGTTATTAAATTATTTATTCAATGAGTAGGATCAATATATACTATCAGAATGTACGTGGTCTGAGGACTAAAACAAATGATTTACGATTAGGCTTATTAAGTAATGATTATGATATTGTTGCGTTAAGTGAAACATGGTTAAATTCTTCTATTCATAATTCAGAAATATTTAGTAAGGAATACACAGTTTTTAGAAGGGATAGGGATGCAAATATAACTGGAATGGATAGAGGGGGGGAGTCATAGTTGGTGTCAAAAGTAGTTTTGTAGCTAAAAGATTATTTGAGTTAGAAACTGATAGTGAAAATATTTGGATTAAAGTAAAACTAACTAATAATTACTCTATTTTATTATCACTTGTATATTTTGCTCCAAGTTCTAATTTTGAAACATACAAAAATTTCTTTGATAAGCTTGATCTCTATAAATTAAGAAATGAACGTTTAATTGTGTTGGGTGACTTTAATTTGCCAATTACTGGAACTCAGTGTGATTTGTCTAGAGAGAATAGAATTTGTAAGCAGTTGCTATTTTTCATGAGAATGTATTCATTAAAATCATTGAATAAAATATTGAACCTCCAAGGTCGCACGTTGGATTTGTTGTTATCTGATATAGATAAATTGTTAGTCAAGCAAGAAGAAGTTCCATTAGTAAATATAGATAATTATCATCCAGCATTAATTGCTTCTTTCAACATTAATGAAAAAATTGTCCCCTTGGAGAAGAACTCAAGTGAGGCTAGTTATAATTTTTCCAGAGCTGATTTTATTTCCTTGTATAATCTTTTGAAGGATACTGATTGGAGTTTATTATTTATGGAGAAAAATACTGATGAGGCTGTTAGATTATTTTATGAGAAATTTTATTCAATTCTAGATTTGTGTGTTCCAAAAAAGAAAAGTTCTAATTTAAAATATCCTGCATGGTATTCAGATAAGTTAAAAACATTAATAAAGAAAAAAGTTAAGATTAGGAAACAATTAATAACTTATAATATGCCTCACTTGTTGGACGATTTTAAGAGTATAAGAAAGGAAGTAAAAAAACAAATAACATTTGATTATAAGGCATATTTACACACTGCTGAAATGGAGTTAAATAGAAATCCTAAATCCTTTTGGTCTGTTATAAAAGATTTGAAGGGTACTAATGTAAAACCAGCAACTATGATATTTGATGGTAAAGAGGTGGAGGGGGGAGCAGCAATAGCTGATGCATTCTCAACATATTTCAACTCAGTTTACAGTACATGCACTCTCAACTCTTATCAGCTTTGGCAACAAGCCTTGGACTCGCCTGTCATGAGCAATGTGGAAACATTGTCTTTTAATCAGATAACTAAACAAGAAGTTCTTATCAGTCTCAATAGACTAAAGCCTAAAAGAACACTTGGTCCTGACGGAATTCCTCCCTATATCTTTAAAGCTTGTGCTGAAATTTTAATTGAACCTTTACACTATTTATTTAATCTATCGTTGAAAAGTAATTATTTTCCTAGTTGTTGGAAACTAGCTAAGATTGTCCCCGTCCCTAAAAAAGGTGCAAGTAATGATATTTCAAATCATAGACCAATAGCTATTTTATCATCTCCAGCCAAGATATTTGAATCAATTATTTATAACAGACTTTTTTCTCATGTAAAAAAATATATTAGTAGATATCAACATGGATTTTTCCCCAAGAGATCAATTAATTCAAATTTGTTGAGTTTTTCACAGTTTTGTTGCAGTAAAATTGACAATAACCAACAAGTTGATGTTATTTACACTGACTTTGAAAAGGCTTTTGATAAAGTTGATCATTTAACTCTGCTATCAAAGTTAAATTATTTTGGATTAACTCCATCACTTGTAGAGTTTTTTAGTTCATATCTGTGTAAAAGAAAGCAATATGTTTGTTGTGATGGATATATCTCAGAGGAACTTGTAGTCGGATCAGGTGTTCCTCAAGGCTCAAATTTAGGACCTTTGCTTTTCATAATATTTATTAATGACATACAAAATTATGTCAAAAATAGTCAAGTTTTATTATATGCAGATGATTTGAAATTATTTAAAACAATTGATGATGTACATGACTGTTATGAGTTGCAGCAAGACATAGATTCCTTGATCATTTGGAGTAGGAAGCATTTAAAATTCAATGTTTCTAAGTGCTCAGTAGTTTCCTATACCAGAAAAACACCCAAATTTCAAATAATGTTTGATTATAAAATGGAAGACATAATATTGGACAGAAAGTCATCAATGAAAGATCTAGGAGTAATTTTTGATTCAAAGTTTTCATTTAATGATCATGTGATTTCATTATGTAAAGCTTCATACTCACTAATAGGATTTATCAAGAGGTCAAGTATATATTTTGAGAACCCCACATCTTTAAAGTTGTTATTCTTTTCTCTGGTTCGATCTAAACTTGAGTATGGAGCATTGATTTGGTATCCTCATGTAAATTATCTTTCAGATATGATTGAGAACATTCAGAAGAAGTTTTTAAAATTTTTATTTTATAAAGCTTTTGGATTTTATACTAATTTGATGCCATATTCTGAGTTATTAGATATTTTTGAAGTCCCTAGCCTAACAAAAAGAAGTAAATTAAATGCATTACTTTTCTTATATAAACTTTTGGATGGTAGCGTTGACAATAGTGATTTAGCTTCATGTATCAGCTTTGCTGTTCCTCGCCTCACCTCACGAAATGCAAATTTATTTTTTATACCATTTTCAAAAACTAATTTGGGCTTCTATTCACCTCTAAACAACATGTGTAGGTTATATAATTTGTCTTGCCGAGAAGTGGATATTTTTAATGATTCTTTTAGTATGTTTAGATTTAAATTAAATAGTAATATCAATAATTTTTAATGAAAAGTGCCAATTAGTCATGTTTGCTGGTTGCATGTTGCATATTATTGTTTATTTATGGTTCTTTGTTAGTGCATATAGATGTATTTATTTATCAGTAATTTATTTATTCATTTATCTATAAGTAATATAGTTATTTAAAACCAGTTTCAAACTATTTCTATTATTAATATTTTTTATGTGCATGTATCAAAGTTGTATGCTGTTTGCTGTAGGGTAGTTGTCGTGCATGTTATTTATGTTATTGTGTATTAGTGCCTTATGTAATTGGCTGTTAAGCTGTATAAGAGCACTTAATAAAGAATTTTGAATTTTGAATTTTGAATTCTCAGAAAAACTATTTTCCATTATCTAAACCATCCGTTTGTGATTTTCCTCACAATCTAGTAGATTCTACTAACTTTCAGCTCTACTTTACAAAAAAAAACTTTAGTATTTAACACGTTTAAATACGTCGAATGTCTTCGATTAGCGACAGAATCCCCGCCCAGAGGCGCATGTCTCCAATCGTAGACACTTGTCATAGACATTGTAATGCGATCATATTTCGTCTAGCTATTGAGAAGGAAACGCATATTGTGCCTTAGCGTGCATGTTAGGGTAGTGGGTCATTAATTTCGCGTTGGTCGAGGTTACCACCAATACAGTAGAACCTCGATAGCTCGACACTTTGTGGACTTAAGCACAGAAAACATATTACTATAACCCAGAATGCCAACCGCGTGGTAAAAAGCATTAAGTGTTTTGAGAGAGCTTTGCCTGTCAATCGTAGGCAGCGCCACCAGCGTTGCCATGCACTCAGCATAGCAACGCTGGTGGCGCTGCCTACGATTGACAGGCAAAGCTCTCTCAAAACACTTAATGCTTTTTACCATGCGGTTGGCATTCTGGGTTATAGTAGTATGTTTTCTGTGACTGATATCGAACTATCGAAATGTCAAACTATATGGAGTAAATGGAGTTTAATATACAGGAAAGTAAAAACACAAGTCTTATATAGAAATTACGCAAATTTATTAAATACTAAAAAAGCTTAACAATTTCACTGTACATATTTTAATATTTAATATTTTATATTTTAATATTTTATTTATAAAGTTATATATAAGTTATTTATAAGTTAAGTTGTGAGTCGGTGGCTCAGTCGGTAGCGTCGCGGACTTAGTGGGCCCAAGGCAGCGATGTCGTGGGTTCGGATCCTGGTCACTGCCGATAACATTTTATCAGTACAGTTCACCTTTGTACTGTACCGGCTCACTCCTTGCTTTGCTGTAAACGATCCACGCACGGGCGCTTAGTCTATGTGGACGGACAAATGCAAGGTTAAAAGAGGCCGCCAACCTCTTTAAAAAAAAAAAAAAAAAAAAAATAGTAAAAATTGTTATATTTTGAAAGAAAATTAATCAAATTATAAATAATTTCTATGATTATCAATCCCAACAAACGGAGACATTATATTTCACTGTTCATTAGTTAATTCTCAACTCAACAATAAATGACAAATTAATGTTCAAGTCAGCTCACATCTCAATAGTAACCATTAAATATCACTTGACAAAATAGCTCAGCCCGTGTCGAACTATCGAGTGTCAAACTATCGAAGGTTTACTATATTCATATTTTCCACAGGCCTTTATTTTCGTATTTGTTGACGTTGTTCATCTTTGCGTCTATGGTAGCATGTTAGACATTCAATGACATGGAATAGAATAATGATACTGAATGTACTGTTGCATTGTGGATGGAATGTAAAAATTGTGCTTAATCCCTGTTTTGCGGTATGTTTTGATGGTGTATCCGGGTACTTTGCCCCTACTTTTTCCCTCCATTTGGCAATACTGAGGGCCGGCTAGCAGTTTTGTTTTGTGCTTCTATCTTTTGGGTTTTTGTAAAGCTACGTCCACGACGACTGGGATGCAGTACATGCTATAACATGCCTCTCATATTTAATGGAACTAAATTCAAACATTTTCGTGCACTCATCCATGCAGGGCATTAGCTGTTGGCGCTCACGGCAGCGGCCAGCCATCACGCAGCTGCAGTGAACGTTTTAAACTAGGCAGACATTAAATACTCTGTTTTAAGGCATTCTTTTATATAATGAATCATTTAAGTCTGCCAGTGGAAATTATCGGCTATGTAACTATGTATTAGTTGACATTTTGTGACATAAAATTATATTTAACTTTAAAAAAAATCAGTTTGTCTCAAGTCTTAAATCTATAATTTTTCTTTTTTTTGGCTCTCGTATTTGTTACCATACCTATCTTAAAAAATTTACCTGTAGGTCTTGTTCAAATTCAGAATAACTAAGCTCAAGAGTTGAACACATACTGCTTAAATATATAACTTTTCATTATAGCAGACTTAAACAAAGCAAGGGGCAAGCCAATTTATTTCATTAATGTATATTAAGGTGCAGGAGAAATGAAATTAAAATGTGTTCTCAATGTAGCCTATTACTGTAGCTAGTATTTATTATTTCCTCTTGATTTTCAGATTATGTATTTGTTCACAAAGGAAAATGCACTAAAGAAGAAATAGGTATGTATAACATGTAACTTATGAAAATATGTTAAGAATGTCTGTAGTTTCTAGAGTCTTCAGCTCCTCTGAACTAGGTAAATAATTAAAATATAAAGATATATTACAAATAAAAGATCTAAATCATTTTTAAAACCACAGAGATATCAGAATGGTTCTATGAAATATTTGGAAAGGTTTACCATTGGTAAATTGCACTTGAACCTTGATAAATATTTAGACAGAAAACCTATACTAAAACGAGTTTTATAAAGTTATTTTCAATCTTTTTTATTCATGCTTGAGTTTTTTGTAAAGAAGTAAATGACTGTTTTAGGTCGCAAGTGTTACCGCAAGTGCCCGTATGACTACAAGCCTGTGTGTGGTGTTAATGTGAAAGAGGGCTATAGGACTTTCCCTTGCTTGTGTGAACTGGAAGTTGCCAACAAATGTGATGGAGCAGGTAGCTTACTTGTGATAAGATAAGACTAGGGATATACAGAGAGTCCAAGTAGCAGCAACAAAAGATGTTTAAAGAGGTTGGTGGCTTTGCATTTGTCCGTCCCTATGGACCTCGGGCTTGTGTCTAGAATGTTTTGAGCAAAACAAGGAACAAGTCAGTACTGATAAATATTGAGGCCAGTATTGGGATTCAAAACCACAATTGCCTTGGATTTGTACCTAGTCCATCTTGCTACCAACTGACTCACAAAATCATTGTTGATACACAACTTACTTAGATATAGATCACTAAAGTTCAAATCCCTTGGTCTTTAGTGATTTCATTACATGTCTCTATTGAGAGGGAAGTAGGAAGACGACGTTTGAGCCACATATGCACAATATTCAGAAGTTTTGTTCATTGAAACCTTTCAGTTTTCCGTTTTTAAAACTTTACAATTGACGAAAAAATAAACGTCCAAGTTCAGTAACGCAAAGAATCGGTGAGACGGTGGCTCAGTCAGTAGTGACTCGGACTTCAGACTCAAGGCAATGATGTCGCAGGTTCGGATCCTAGTACCTGCCACTACTTTTCATCAGTACAGTTCACGCTTTTACTGTACCGGCTCACCCCTTGCTTTGCTGGATAAGTTCTACGCACACGCCTGAGGCCTATGTGGACGCGCAAATGTTAGGTTAAAAGAGGCTGCCAGCCTCTATAAAAACATGTAAAAATAAAACGACCGTCTCGCCGCAGTAATAATCCTACCTTTTTTTGGAACTACAACTGTTACATTTGCGCTAAGTGTCACTCTTTGGAACAGATTGGATGGAACCGTTCCTGAATCCTGATAAATAGTCCCTTCATTACTTGTGACTCGGGAATCAGCCTGCCTGCCTGTCTCATATTTCTAGTTTAGCATCGTGAAGTGTTTCTCTTTCACTAGCGTTTGTAGTAATTATGCTTGTAGTCGATATGTCGAACAAGAATTTGGAATTTTTAGTTTGTAAATCTATTTTCCACTAAATCTAACTTATCGCGTCATTTAAGACAAGACTGGGGAGAAAAGGAATCTTTGTAATATTTTTTAGAATAGTCCTATTTTACTACGCATGAGTTTTTGATGTTTCCATAAATTAAAGAAATATGGGTTATTATGAACTTAAGCTACTCTTTTGATTTTTTTTAAACTTGGTTATCGGTTTAATTAGCTATAAATTAGGCAATCCTAAGCACTCTTTTCCTTCTGAACTTTTGGGGCAAACGCCTTTATCAAAAATTTTGTTTTAAGGTTGCCTCGATTTAATGTGAAATCGCTGAGTTCATAAATAGCTTAAGTTCATAAATACAGAAATATGAATAAGAAATATAAGTTAAAGGGTTTGTTATGATCGTCCTTGTGACTTAAGAGATCTTCAAAATCATAAAAAAGTAGGATAACTGCTACAGGCCTAGTACATCCTTAATTAATTACAATAGGCTATCTAACTTATGTTTTCAAAAGTTATTTTATATTGAATTACATATGCCTAAAGGTTTTAACTTTTTCAGTACATTATGAACAATAGCGTTAAAAGTGGAAAAGGCTTAATTTTAAAGTTACGGGCATCTAACATTTTGGGGAAATAGGTAGGCTGTAGCCTACAGAGCTACAGACTACACCTAGGTGGTCCGGTTTTGATGAAAAATTTGGTTTGTGTGTGTGTGTAGGCAGTCAATGGTATCGCCAGGCGTTTTTTCCATTTAGATTTTAATTGTGATTTTTCCAGATAGAATAACGGAAAAACTCAGATTTTACAGAAACGGTTTGACGATAGTGATTAAAATTTAGTATGTTATGGTCCTTTTAACTCTAAACCAAATGGTACACTACCTAATACTGCAAAAATTATGGTTTCAAAGATATTGCAACTTTTGTGATTTTACCGATGAAAAACCATACACTTATAGTTACTCCCACTGCTTGCACTTTGTAATTGTATACTTTATAATTATAATTTCCACTTATTATAGTTATTCACTTTATAATTAATTGCTTTTGTTTTTGACAAGCCAATGGGAGAAAGTATGTGTCAGATTGTTGATCCAGTTCTTTTAGTGTTATTTAAATTTGTTGTTTTATTCAATATTTAAAGATCTACTATCTACCTTCTACATAAATACTGTTTGGTTTGAAGTTTATTCGATAGTTAAACATGAAACGAGACAGAAATTTTAATCTTACAGCTCTTGTGGTTTCTATATGACAGTTTTACATACCCAGGGTCGCAGCTACACATTTTTCTTGGGAAAGCAAATCCTAAATTTGCCGCCCTTTCCCCTCCGCAACTGTGGATTTTTAAAATTGCCAATGGTACTTTACAGTCAGTCTAAACACGAGGCACATTAACTTTTTTTTTTAAACTGGCCCTAAGGTTTAATGATTCTTTTATATTATATTATTAAAAATGTAATAATTTTTAAAAATTTGTATATTATTACGTAACCATTAAACCTGTAAGTACTATTTTTATAAGAAAAAAAAAAAATTTCTTTAATTTGGTTATCGAATTGCCGAGAACATATAGCGCTCAACACATGAAGTCACTCAATAAGTTTAAAAATTTATTAAATTTTATTTTATCTTAATTTTTAGCTGCAAATATTATGTCAGAAAATTGAATTGTTGTCTCTCTTACATGATTAATTGAGATGATACTTGCTGATAATTGCTGAGTCTTTGATCATCTTGTCTAATGATCAGTGGCTGATCCAGCCAGGGGGTGCGGGGGGAAAAGAGATGCAAAAGAATTGCTTGCGATTGCGGTAAAATTGTTAACACCTCCCGCTATTATGGTACAATTGTTAATGCCACCCGCAATCGAGACTGAAACGTGATTCATGATCATGTCTTGCTATCACGGGAACATTATTAACGTCACCCGCGATCACAGCAAAATTGTCAACTTTCGCCATCACGGGGACATCGGTATCACCTTAAAAATATGGCTAATTTGAACACTTATAAAGTTCATAAATATTTTGTTAATAGGTGGAAAAATTTAAGAGCGTCCTTTTCTAAACAAGTTCCTGGGTTCCCCTCTGCTACTAATCGCTTAGAAAAGTTGACAATTTCAGATAGAAATAAAAGCAATTTAAGAGAAATATATGTTATAAAAATATAAATGTCAACAAGGAGCGGAGAGGGGATCAGGGGTACGATGGCACGGGCGGCGGCACTCCACTTTTTACAAAAGTAAATACGAGAAACGACTTTGACCTTGAGCAGTCATATCCGCCGCTCCCATTCCTGAACCTCCCCACCACGTTCATATAAATATTTTCTTAAGAGCCCTTTCCTTTGTTTTGGCTAGACCACTTTAATGCTAAATAAACTTTTTTGATAGTACGGTTAAAAAATTACATTGCAACCTAAATGTTGCCGCCCCCCAAAACTTGCCGCCTGGGGCAAACGACCCCCCCCCCTGGCTACGGCCCTGTACTCCTATGAAAATCAGTGTAAAGCATTCAATTTATTACTTGCTATCTCTCTAGCCACCCAATAGTCTCAAATTCCAATTTTTTAAAGTTTTCTCTATATGTTATATAAAAAATTGTGAATACCGTACCTAGTTGATATAAATTAATTATTTATACTTTCCAGACTACTCACTGGCACATGTGGGCAAATGTACACATAAAGAACTTGGTGAGTAATGGATTGTATTTGTCTTATTTTTAAATCAAAAAATAATTTTTTGTGTGGTGTTGATATAATAATGCAAAACATCAAATCTCAAGAATTTGAAATATTTGATAAATAAATGTTGAACTTTCCTTTTAACTTATCAGTACATCAACATGCTATTTCATACCTTAAAGAGACAAATTGTTTGCCCACAGCTTCTTGATTAATCAATTTTTGGGTCATATTGTACTTTGAGTTTGTCAAGTATCACAAAATGTTCCTTCTTTAGGAGGTGCCTGCCGCCACAATTGTCCTCTCCACTACACTGGACTTTGTGGATACAGCAAAATCAAAGGCCACAAAACGTTTGCCAATGAATGCTTCATGGATCGTGAAAATCACTGCACTCATTCAGGTGAGTTTCTATTCTCGGTCAAAAGTAAAAAAATATATATTATTGAGAGGTCAAATAAACCTTACCTCAATGAAGTTGTAACTTACAACTTTTGTATGTACAAGTTACAGTATTAGGCTTTGGTTTCATAGCTCAATTTCAGTAATTATACGAGTCGTAAGTTTATTGCGAAACTTTTTGGGTTGTATGAGAATTTTACTGAGTACAACAGACAAAGTATATTGTTTGATAAAGTCTCTGTTTTTATTTAGACCGAACGCTTAAAAAATACTACATGTTTATTAATGACTTTACTTTTTGAATGAATGAGCTGTTTTAACCGCTGCAATGGTGAACATATTATTTTTGAACTAATGATACTGATGAGAATTTTGCTTAATGAATTATCTCCCTACTTTTCCAATGTCAAAGATTTGTGTTTCTTTTTTCAGATTACAGAGTGATTCATAAAAGAAAATGTACTCCTGTTGAAACAGGTTCGTAATGAAATAAGTCTGTTACAAAAATTAGATCCATGAGTCTATTAAATTTACGTCATGTGGTTGCTGACATAGTTGATGGGTCTTAACAGTGTTGATATAGCTGAAAATAAAGGAATTCCAACTGTTTCACTTGGTAAACAATTTCATGTATTCGATATAAATTAATAATTTACATCGGCACAACCTGTCGATGGCTCACATCAACTGTGACGATTTTGATTTCAAAACTGGTGACAACTTTTACATTGGAATGTAATTTCCAGTTGTATCAACAGTCAACGGTCTGACCTAAAAGTAATATACTGTATACCAAAGAAGTAAGCTTCTATCACATCTGATTAAAATAGCAATGACAAGAAGAAAGACAAGTAGGAAGTAAACAAAGTTATTGTAATTAATTGTGTGAAAAATAGAACATATTGTTTTATTACTTAATGCAAAAGAGGCTTTTTAACCTATGTTTATTTTCCAACTTCAGGGTTTACACTTGTGCTTTTATGAAAAAAATGTTGCTCTAGTGACAAATTATGCCGTTTTAACCATCATGTCTGATCTCTAGGACACAAATGTAACCGATTCTGCAAACCAATATATTCACCTATCTGCACTAAGAGTCCAGAAAAAAAATACAAAACTTATGCAAACTTCTGTCTCATGGACAAAGATAACAGCTGCTATTATAAGGGTAAGTTAAAATGGCAAGTAACTTTCTTTTAATAACATTTTGACAAAACTTATATAATTAATAACCATGAATAAACTTGAACTTCAGAACTTTAAGCCGAAGAAGAGTCAATAGTTCCGTCACCCAACAAACTTCTACTGCAGTTCCACTTTTTAATTATGCATTAAAGTGCAGAGGTTAATATTTATGATAAGTTGAGAGAAGTAGTCTTGTGGCTATAGTCTTGTAACTATTCCCCTTCTGTTACTGGTAAAGTGTCAATTTAATGTTTCTCAGATGTGCCATACAATGACTGCCACCGCTCTTCAGAGATTTACTTCCACAGCATTTCAAAGCACAGCCAGTACATTTCAGGATGACATATAAGACTTGTTCGGTCAACACCGAATTGTGCTGATAAACTGAAATAACTTAAATAATCTGGGTGGACCGATTCTTCTAGGTGTCGAGATAGCTTCGGCAAAAAACTCAAACAAACCCAACATGCACCACTCAATACTTTACAGTTTGATACATTACTTATCATCAGATATGAAGTTTTCGAGGGCTATCTGGAAAGTAGATTACGTTTTTGTCTGTATCCGCTAGGGGCGGGGCTAGCGCGACCATCTTGGTGTTAGTTCGTTATGCAGCTCAGTTGGTGTCTAGTGGTGCTAGTAAGAGGTTTCTGCTGTACTCTGTTGAGTTACTGTGACAGTTTAAAATTTCTGTGTTTATTGAAAATGCCGCAAACTGTGAAGTGCGTGCAAAAAATAATGAATACACTCTTTAGTTACAGTTTGGTAACCAAGCTTTTCGGTTATGATCTCGTGCAACAAACTTCGCTAAATTTGTGGAAAACTCACAGAGAGTTCTGTTATTGCGAACTTTCGAGTTATACAGACATCGTTATCGACTTTTTTGTCAGTCACAATACTGGGTCTTCCACTTCGCTCTTACTCGTGAACGTTAGTTCGGCCATTTTTAAATGTTATGACCCTCTGATGAACTTCACCTTCAGTAATAATGTTTTCCCCATAAACTTCACAAAGTTGCCGATAGATTTCTATCGGTTTACAGTTTTTTGCAGTAAAAAACCTTATAACTGCATGCACTTCACAGTTCGTGGCATTTTCAATTAACAGAGAAATTTTAAACTGTCGCAGTAACTCAACGGAGTACAGCAGAAACCTCTTACTAGCACGGCTAGATGCCAACTGAGCTGCATAACGAACTAACACCAAGATGGTCGCGCTAGCCCCGTCCCTAGCGGAAACAGACAAAAACGTAATCTAATTTCTGGATAGCCCTCGTAGTATGTAAACCGTTTTCTAAGAATAACAATTTGTTTCAGATTATAATGTAATACATCAGGGAGAGTGTTTTCCTTGGGAGCTGTGTGTCAACTGTCGAAAACCCTAGTTGTATCTCCATTTAATCTATGAACGAATTAATTCTGATTACATAACTTTAGAATAATTCTTTTTGTATCATTTAAACCATTTTTCCATTGAAAAACACCTTATCAAGTACCAATAAAGTTTTTCAAATGAAGAGTATGCTTACCTTTTACTGGGTGAACTTCATTCAATACATTAAATTAAAAACGTTCCTATAGGTATACAAAATACTTTAGTATTACTGCTACAATAAGAAATTATCACTAATACAGTAAGTAGTTTTTTATTAAATTCACGGTGTAACAGTGACAGTGCTAAATCAAATAAACTAGGTGAAACCCGTCAAAATCGACATTTACTCGTGAGGTTTAGATGAGCAAGCTGGTCTAGTGGTAGAGCTTCGGGCTTCAATGCCCAAGGTCCCGGGTTCAAATCCCGCCAATCACCAATGAGATAATGCCATGAGATAATGCTGTGACCCTGTAGGTCTAGCCTGAAATAATGTGTAAAACAGTTCTGGACTAGAACCTAGCGACTAGGATGTATGGTGGGATAAATCATAATCATAAATCTTTATTGGTCATTAAATAACACAAAGTTACAATAGACCTCGTCAACAATGAGAATGACGTCAAAAAGGGCCTTAGATTATTAATTAGTTATTATATTACTAAACACAGCCATTAAAAAACCTCAAGATTGACACAGGTAACTTACAAATAAATCTAATTTCACTGACTTAGCCAGAATAGCACAGGAGAACCTACACTTAATATAACAATGATAACAAGAAAATAAATTAACTAACATAATTTGAAAAACACAGAAACTAAACTATATACAGTAACAAAAAGTGAGGTGCTTAAACAAAGTGTTTGAAAGACTGGGTAAACAGTTGGCGAGGCACTACCTAAGAACTTGATAACAATTTTACTACTACAATTAATTGTGTTATGTAAAAAAAAACATTTAAACTGTAAAAAGGGTTGTTGGCAAGCCAAACTATCATTATTTGTTTTAGCTGAGTCCAAGGAATGTCAAGTGTTTCACTTGCAAAGCAATTTACTATTTTAATGGATATACTAGCAAAACTTTGCTGTACTGTTGTTAGTCTGGTGTAGGGCCTATCCAAGCAGTTCTTCCCCTTGTGCAATATGAGTGAAAATTATTTCTAGTGCTTAAAAATATGAGGGTTTTGTTTTACAAAAATAAAACACTCTAACCTATACAAAAATGCAGTTGTCAGGATACATTTTGGTTTAAAAGGAGGTTTACAATGGTCCCTAAACCCTGAATTGGTCAACAGTCTTACAGCCTTTTTTAGCTTTAAAATAATTAGAATGTGGGTAGAGTTACCCCACAGCAACAGACCATACTTTAACACACTTTGGAAAAAAGCAAAATACTTGACAATTTCTTACTTAAGTTACATAAATGGGTTGGCCAGCTTAAAAAAAATATCCAAATCTATGCCTGATAAATTTACACTTGACGACAAATTCTTTTCTTCCTCAGGTGTGCGACCTAACCTAAGAACAATAGTTTGAGTCTTTTCAGGATTCATAAAAAACCCATTGACACTGAACCAGTTTCTAGCTTCATTGAGGGAAAGTTCGGACAGCTCCATGAGTTTACTAAAGGTACCTTGACTATTTAAGAAAGTAGAGTCATCCGCATAAATCACAGAGGTACTGGACATACATGTATCTAAATCGTTAATCATTATAAGGCAAAGAACAGGGCCTAACACCGAGCACTGGGGCACTCCGCAAAATACCTCACTCTCATTCGACGAAATACCCGCAACATCGACCTGCTGCCTGCGGTCTGATAATTAAGACTTAAAATATATAGATGGTAAAATCTAAAAAGATAGTATAGTATGGTAGGACAAAAAAAAAAACCCCTTGAGGTTTGACACAAATTCAGCTACCAAAGATATATAGATTGAAGTTATTAACATCTTAAACAATCAGCTTCATTAATTCTTAATTCTTACAAAATGTAGACGATGAACTCGTTGAATACAACATTTCCAACAGGTCACCCAACAGATTTTGCGAAATGTTTGTTTCTTGTTCATCTGCTATGTTCATATTAAAGACTCTTTTTACCATACGGAAAAAGGAAATTATATAAAATTGGGTCTATCATCCGATGGAGGGGAGTTGAGGTTGCTAATAACTGGTTCCATCTCCTACTGGAAAAATAATGTACACTAACACAATCTTAATAGACAAAATTATCAAATCACTAACTAAACCGCTGCTTGTTTGCATTATTAAAAATTTAAACAAGTTGGGAGTCGTTTTGATTGGTTATCTGAACATAAAATTTATTTTTATTTTCGTTTCGCAACTGTGTTTGTTTACTTATTGTGCAATATGGCGAAAAATATAGTTCATCTCACAGGCAAAAATATATTTTCAACCTTCGCTCATTTTCCGTGAAACTTGAGCTCGGGTCCAAAGTCACTTCTCGCCCTATTGGTGAAATATATTACTAAATTTTTTGCAATTTAAAAGCTTAAGATAAATAAATACCACTGTGCCGCGTATTATATTTACCAAGAGTGTCAACACGTGGTGTATTTCAGACAACTTAACTTGTAATTCTTTAGTTCAAAGTGAAGCTTTAAGAGGTAGACATTTAATGAGTATTTTATTTGAGTTAAACTTGTTATGAAAACACTTCTCTTAGAATGGCAATATTTAGTGGTTAGACAGCCTGAAAAACTACAATTTACTAGTTGAAACTATTTGCATTTGCCATTAATTTTATAACATTTAAGTAGATATTAAGCCATTATAGAATTTACTGAGATGTTGAGGAGAACCATAGATAAAACATACACTTTAGTAGATTTCCCTTCCTCGAGGAATAGCTGAAGCCAATGTTATCGTTAGTTCTGTCTGGTGCACTGCAGATGTCGTGTTTTGTTTACAATTTGTTTTTTGTTATTTCAGTCATTTAAACACCCGTTTAACCAAATAAAATGTAAGGGACAGGAAATGTTTTACTTTTTTAGTGTAAAGTTTTACCTTTCTTGTACTAGTTTCGATTCTTTACTATTCAGGTATGTCTGCTATCTTCACTAACAAATCTTTATTTAATTATTTACAACTATGGTTGGAAATTTTAATGGTAAGATTAATAAGCATTTATTTTAAATCATAAAAACTGTCCAAGTCGATTGAAGCTCTTTTAACGTCACCAACGATAATAACAAGTTTTAAGAATTTGGAAAAGAATACAAGAGGAAAAAATGAACAAATAAAAGATTGATTTTCAAATTTATTCCACAAAAATAAATATTTGATACAGTTTCTTTAAGGATGCCTATTAGTGTAAAGCAATCTTCTCATCAAAGACACAAAGAAGTTGCATATAATAAAACATACTTAATAAGTTGTAGATTGGTACAAAAAGCCTGTCTTGACAACACACAAGATACAAATTACAGTGCAACAATAACAATGGTTATAACTTATACAACTGGTGCCATTATGAAGCAGAATAAGTTTCTAAAAATTTGTGACGACATGCTGACTCCAAGGTGCGGATGAAAACAGCGATGTCATCGTCCGAGAGGAACAGGGAAGTGGTGACCCGTATGCAGGCTGGCGTCTTTGAGGAATCATTGGCTAGAAAAGAAGCCCTACTCACAGCTATTCGTTCTTGCAGGCACTGTAAAAAACATAACTAATGGATACTATTGCATAACTGACAATTTGGTTTGAGTTTATAGAAAACATTACTTTAGTTTTCTTAGTGCCTGTATCAAATTTTGGACAAGAACTAATATTGACTTGATTCAAAAACTTAAAATTGTTGTAGTGTCTTAGTTTAGTGACAGTCTGTAATCAGTTTTGATCTTTATGTGAATTACTTAGTATCTCTGGAACTCCAAGTGGAGACTGTTGTTCATCAATAAGGGTAGGGGTTTCTAGAATGCTTGTGATAATTATCAATAGAGACCCACATAAATATGTCAAATTGTATAACTTAGGTCTCAGCCCTCTGTTTCCTTGAGATAAGGAGAGCACTTATCTGTTTAGTTGATCCTTAACTCTGTCAACCCTATCTATTTTATGAAGCTATATGTTAAAGCCTAACCCTACACTTTGACACTTCCTAGATGATACTTAACTTTGTTAATGGACAGTTCTCAAACTATTTTATTAGACATTTATTGATATTGCTAGAAGGTTCTAGAAGGAGGGCTGCGTCCCCCACTTAGAGATCCGTATTTAAGCTGGACTCTGGAGCAGAGCCGGCACTTCTCGGTTAGGACCTGCTACTGGAGGGTGTTCTCAGAGAGCCCGTCAGTGCAGCTATCAACTGTTTAGTCGTATTTTGAGACTTAGAACTATTTTGTATTTTGGGACTTGTAATATTTTGTGTGAATTTCTGAATTGTAGTTTGAGTCAATATATTGTGTTTTACTAGAAGCTCGGTTGATTTTAATCATTTAACTTCCCAAGCGAACCCCCACATTCGTGTTGTACCGGCAGCCACTCGATGGATACAACAAAATGTTCTCAGGACTATTGGCTTGATTCACTTTTACAGCCGATAACTCAGTGATAATCTAGTCATAAATAATTGAATAATTCATACATTTTTCAAAGAAATTAACTCTCATATTACATTACCAGACCAGACATTGGATGGATTAGTTAGAAAGTGACCTATTTTAGGATTAGGATCAACAATACAATTTATCATAAAGTTACTTTGTTAAAATTAATACGGTGCGTAAAGATATAGTTTTATTAGTTTTGTAATTTTAACAAGAAAAAAAACCAGTAAACACTTTGAATAACACACATTGCTATAAATATGTGCTGTATATATGTCGATTAACCTTTCAATTAATTCATATTCAGATAGATTTTTTTTTATTAAGTCCTAAATATACTGTAAGTATATTTTCTAGCTTTTAGTATATGCAAACGTTGTAAATTTGTCTTCTACTCATATCTTCTTTAGTTGAAAATGCTGTTAGTTGTAGCAAAATATAATTTTGTTGTGTATTAAGTGTTGTGTTTTTGTGCCAGATTGGACTCTTTCCCACCCAGGAAAGAGTTTCATATTTA